TCTAAAATTAATTCAGTTATTGACAAATTTGAACAAATTATGACTGCCTATCGAGGTGAAGTTAGCTGTACTGTACGAACTGCGAAACCTCTAGATAAAGCATCAGAAAATGAATTACGGAATGCCCTTAATGGATTTTTAAAACCCGGCGAAAAATTACAGCTAACTTTAGAGGTAAGTGTTTATATATCATTTGTTGAATGCATAGTCTTCAGTTGGCCATAATTAATATAAATTAGTCGAAGTTAACACAACACAGTAAAATGAATAACAAAGGAGCCGAAGTAATAGTAAGAAAAACTAAACATCGGAGAATATGATTCGATAAAATGAGCTGATTTTGAGAAATAAACAAAATTTCAGCTCAAGACTTTACAGGGTAGGTGAAGAATGAATCCATCTACATCTGTGCGACCTAATCTTAGTCGTGTCATCTAAGCAAATAATCAACCAGTTATTGTTACATCTATCAGTATAGCTCAGAAAACTCCCAATGACAATATTAACTGAGGTCACATTGTTGTGTGATTGCCATAAGTTTTCTTCCAACTTATTTCTACTTCAGCCAGCATTGAGTGCCAAGTTTACGGTGGCTGGACTTGCGTAACATGTTTCAGTCCATAAAGACTCACATTGTTATCGTATAATTTACCCAAGAATCTAGGCTTAATATCAACACTACTCATTCAGTAGTATCAAAATACCTAAACAATGCTCTGAAGATACCTATAACCAAATACTTTTGGCATACAAGTGTTTTATAGCCATAAAATAACGCAAAACTGACTGCTGTGTAGTATACTTGTCCCTCTTTTGATAGATGAAAATCGCACCCGCTCTTCCAGTGATGCCGTTTGGCAAAAGCCAAGTTAGGTTTCTAAATATGTGCCAAGATATAGTCAGCTATCAGCACTGGTGATTCTTTCAACATACATGAACTAATCAACACGCTTAGCTGCTTCATTCTATACAATCAGTCTAAGCAATGATACAGACTAGTTCTGAAGCAACGGGAGGGAGAAAGCCTAATTCGAAACGCTTTTTCATTATCACTCTAGACTTTCAAGAGACTACATTATGTCAGCGTTTACAGCAAGCTAAACTATGTAATCTGTGTACTGCAGCAATGAGATCAATCCTTAAAATGTTAGATGACTTCAATGATTTCTAAAAAGGGGTATCTATAGTGACACTAGGATAGTTGTCAATCCTGAAAAGTATCATTTGACATTGTCAACTCTTATTTATTTATTTGAACACATAAATATTGGTACAAGAGGGCATTAAATTTATATGCACCACACTTACTACTGTCAATATCGAGGGAATCCACACGGGATGGACATATGCCAATAAGAGACTGATCAATGCCAATCCTTAACACCGGTGTGAAGATACAAACAACATATATATCTATGAATTAAAGTTATAATAAATAGATGTTTATTTTATTTATCACTTGTTTACTAACACAAAATTTCTGGGTTTTTTTTGTTTCTCTGTGCGTCTATTTTATTAATAATTTAGATCGATCCATCGATTATTGGGGGTATGGTAGTTAGTATCGGTGATCGTTTTGTTGATATGTCAATTGCTCGAAAGATTCGCTTACTTCGCGGAATAATGGAACAACCAATTTAAAAAGTTATATATGTCGAATTTTGAAAGATAAAAAAATATATAGTTATATATATAAAATATACATTGGATCATTTGACTTGTAGTCTACTATGTAATTAATAATAATTACCTTTGAAAAAAGTTTGTATGACATTGTTATTTTTATGCTGATTTTGTTTTCAATCAGTCATAGAAAATGCGGCATTTAGCATATATATGCTTCGATTCATGTTGTCACAATGTATTGTGGACCGCGGGGTGGCTACTCTAATTTCTACTGACTGATCAACTTCAGATATCCTAGTACATGACCCCAATACTGTTCCCCAACCTCCAATATAACAGAACACGAACCGTCGATGAAATTGTTTATGGGGTCAGAAGAAGAATAAGAATAGGAATAATACTTTATAGACAAAACCATATTTATACAGTTAGGACTACCATAAATATTGACCAATAGGAAAGTGACACGTGAAATAAATATTGACCGGTAGGGAAATGACACGTGAAATACTGACCAATAGGAAAGTGACACCATTTCACGTTCAAGAATAGCATTAGACTTGACAGGATAACTTTCGGGATATTTTTCTGAATATCCCAACACAATGTATTAGTACAAAAAGATGAACTCATCAAGCTGCACACCAGATTAATATAAGTAGTCATAGTACCTATGGTAGTAAGAAATAGTGGGCATATTATTTAAAAAACAGAACAAATTTGCATAACAAAAATGTATAAGTATTTTAAGACATCGAGTGAATAAATGTACTCCACTGCAGCCGATTTTGAGCCATGTCATCCAAAATCTCCATTCATTGATTACAATAATTGCGTAGGTAGTGTACACTTAATAATACAGTCCGATTCAACAGTCAATCACTTCATGAATTGATACAATCTGCATTTAATAATCGCTAGCTTCCTTCACACTTACTCTTACTCCAGAAGCCATCACGTGTCGATATATGCAGTGATAAGCATACGTGATAGATGTCCCAATTACATTAGTCGATGGAGATTTAATACATCAACCGATTTACTGTTTATTCGGTACTACTTGTCTTATATTCAACATTGCAAGTTAATTAATTTACAATGGTTTAGACTATCCTGTTGTTGATATTTAATCATCCGAAACTCAGGAGCTTAGTGGAAAATGCGTCAGCGTTTGGTGCGAAAGGTTCTGCGTCTGAGTCCCATAATGGACATCAGCGATGGGACCCAGGTATATTCAACTGACCAGTCCCAAATAGCATGAGACGCGTGTTCTGGATTTCTCATACTAAAATAACAGGCAGCAAAATTACCAAATCCTGTCTATTATCTTAATCATTGGGTACAAGTCTGTCTGTTGCTTTTTATAATTCGAAGGACGATTCTTGTCGACATTCACGGTGTCAATGTGGTTTTTTATTTACAATATGTCTGGCCATTTCCAAAAGCCTGTTGGTACTCGGTATTCATAACGTCTCTTACATAGTAATAAGTATATACACATAATGAAAGCACAAGTTTAGAAGGAGATGTTGCTTTATCAATGAGAATTTAGACCACTACTTGTTCGATCAATTCAATTATAATACGTAGAATCTACGCCATTACTGCTTGTTATACAAGCTCGAAACTGATAATCAAGCAATTGTAAAATAAATTATATTTAATAATAACACGTTATGTTAATTTGCTGACTGTTCCACGAACGTAAAACGACCTTATGAAGTCGCCCCCATCTATTAGCGAATCAAAATGCAAATGAAATAGGAAATCAAATCAACCATCATATTTAGTTTTGTATCTCACTGAAGTCGCAGTGTCCTTGAGAGGCACTAAAATATTCCTGAATCACATGAAGTAACTACGCTCAACACAGGAGTTGTTTTCTTATAAAATAGGTAAGGATACCATCATCATATCCACTATATGGTTCCATAAAGGATATGTTTATCAATTAGAAACGTTTTAATGACGCGATATACATAAAAGCTGTCTCTGTGTTTAGAATTTAACCGAAAAATCAGTTGTATCTCGGATCTGATTAGTTCCTTGGAAAAGTCAAGTTTTGATAAAGCATTTATCTGGTGTATTTGATCTATAAACAAAATAAGTGACAATAGTTGAAGTTCTTAACAAACTGTATCGTCTAGTATGTTCATAAGATGAAGTAAAACTATCGATCCAAATTATGAATATTATATAAGTTTATCCAATGGTATAGTTTATTCGTTGAATAAAATCATTCGTCTGAACAATAGATGCTTTACAACTCTTACAACAAAATAAATACAACAATTCATAAATTTGACTTAGCTTTTTCAGTGGTGAACTAGAGTCACCATCGAAAATTCAAATCAACACGACACAATTGCATCGATAATCTTAATTATGATGCATAATAAGAATTTCACGGTATTCTGCATGCCTGCAACAATCTACCAATCAAAACAGGAATAATTTTACTATCATTCTGTCAATATGTATCACGCCCTAGTTTACTGAACTGAAATAAATGAACAGTATACACACATAAAGTTATAAATTACAACTGTCATTGGTTTGTTAAGTAGATTAGGTGAAAAGTAAATAATGTATTAAGGGAAAGAAATCACCTGGTTTTGAATAACTTATTTTAATGTCATTCTTATTCCCATAGATATATTATCCTAATATCTAAAAGAAGTAAATAGAACACCATTTAAATGTGTTACCTAGTAAACGGAACTTGTTGGTGGATATTCACATTCGAAATATCATGTATTGAGAAGAAATTAATCCTGAAAATTCACAATCATATAAAAGTATTCACGACCAGTCAGTCTTCAACGGACTTTTATTCGTATTCAAATGTTTAGTTGATCAAACCTTAAAATCAGCCGTGACCGGTGGAGCTAATCCGTGTCGGATAGAGACAGGTATCTACCTCAGTACAATGGAAGATGCTCGCGCAATTTCATGGATTGGTTGATGTTACACACTAACACCATTGGATGCCGAATCAGTGGTCCAGCAGGTTAAGCGTTCGCGTACGAGACTGAAGGCCCTGGGTTTGAATCCCGCGAGCGAGATCATGGATGCGCACTGCTGGGGAGTCCCACAACAAGACGAAACAGCCGTCCAGTGCTTCCAGGTTTCCAACGGTGGTCTAACATCAATCGGTTCATGATCTCAATAAGAAAATAATCACCGAATTCTGTTGGTCCGAGATCTTTATCAAACAAATTTTCATGATAAGACTTATGACAAATGACGAAATGGTTGTTGTATTCTGGTTCGAATAGTCTTTCGACTATTATCTAGCAAAAAAAACAACAAACAAACAACAACGAAACACGACTGTTTTACCCACTAAACCAAGTGTATATAATACAACTACTACTAATCAAAGACTTTAATGCACAATGATATATCTTTCTTCAAAGAGGGTGATTCGCAGAATCTATAAGGACTTTAGTATACAATTATTTTACAATACACGATGATGATTCACAAATATTATATATATATATATGAGTATGTTTGTGTACATAGTAATTTATTTTCACAAATTTACAAATAGGGAAAACAGAACAAAATAAAAAAACATTAGATCTTACTTACTGTTTATTACACATTAATAAAAAAAAAGCATGATAATAACTGACAGTGAATAGAGAGTAAGAGAGAAAGAAAGAGAAATATAATGTACGAATGTGTATATAAATATATTCTGTATACAGATGTGATACATTGGGACTTTATACATATGTAAGTATAGATCGACGAAATTGTCGATAATAAGATGAAATAAATGGTGAATAAAAGTATGATTAGATCAACAAGTCGAGTAAACAAAGATAAACAAGATTGATTTAACATAAACAAGGATATACATATATAATATTTACAGTTTATAATTCGGGTCTAAAAAAAAACCACATCTATTTATTTGTTTTTATAAAAGTAACCCGAGATCAATGTATGAATAAACTCGTAGAAGTAAGTAGAAAAACATGGGGCCTTTCGTTCACTTTCAGTAGAAAATCAAATGATTTCGATTTTTTTTTTAAAAAAAAGTAATAAAAATGCACATCAGGTTAACAAACTACTAATTATCAATATCAGTAGTAATAAATAATGCATAAGCGTGAAGCTGCCAATGGCAATTGTGCACAAAAGAAAAAAAAAAGGAATTTAAATTGATATACAAATGAAATCTGAATGCTGCGTTCAATTCAATTAACGAATGAGGTACTATTTCATTCTTCTTTTGTTTCTTATAAATTCTCTTCTTTGAACAGTTTCATTTTCTGAACAAATAATGCTTCAACAATTTCGGTACAATTAAATTCTGGTGTATCTTTTGGATAGATTAAACGTGAATTAGTGAATAGACGATTCATGTCGAATGAGAAATCTCCCAAAGTTTTGTAAACATCTGTTTTTAAATTTATTATAACGGAGGGAAGATCTAATTGTTTAGAACAGAAAAAGCAAATAAACATTTGACAACACAAATGTACAGAAATACATGTTTTTTTGAAAAAAAAAACAAGCAAATAAATAATGTTCACGAATAGCGCATAAGACCAGATTCAAGGTTCCTTACATTAAAACTATATATATATATATATATATATATATATATATATATATATATAGTGTTCCCTTCAGCTTCCAGCTGAAGAAGAGATTAGGAAAACACGATGGAAATGTATAGGACATACATTACGCAAATCGTCAAACTGCATTACGACACAAGCCCTAACATGGAATCCTGAAGGGAAGCGGAAAAGAGGAAGATCTGAAAAGGATGAATAACAACCGGAAAGAACTGTCCCGGACAAGGTTGGATGGAGAGTGCTGGTGAGCGGCCTATGCTCCTTCACGAGGAGTAACAGGCGTAAGTAATATATATATATATATAAGCACTGCCACAGAATCCCTGCTCACTGCCTTCTCGTGGAGGTGTTGTTTACGAAATTGAGAAGACAAAAATCGAATAGCAGCCACTTAAACAGACGGTTTTAGGGTACGCAGAATCTACCTAGGAGAGTTGGAATACCCTGATTTTAGACCATTGTTCAACAAGGGCTTCAGGACTTTGAGACAAATGGTATATTAGATTTTTCCCGGTATTTTATATCCTAATATTGCCCCACTGACATGTGGATTAGACTTCCGAGTCAAAGTCTCAGTGAGTAGTCCCCCTGAGAAAACCACCTGCCTCGATTTAGGGACCGGGTAGTATTCTAACCAATTCACAAACTCAATTATTTGTGACATATACATATTTTGGTGCCCGTTTGTAAATCAATAAATACGCAATTCTGTATGAAATAGATACTGATTTTGGTATTCATGACCGTGAAATGTCCATAGTTTTTTTCAATGATAACTTATTAAATATTTTGTAAATATCGACAACTACAATCTTAGAGTGATTTCTGATTACTTTTAATTTAAGAATGGTTCTTGTCACTAATTTAACAATTTTCCAAGAGGAATCATGAAAATCTAGAAGGTTCGATAATATTTTGAGTCTGGCACAAGACTTTTCAGCACTCTACGCACCATCAAGGACACTAAAGTGTCGTAGTGAATGCCTTCATATGTTACACAATTGAGTTAATATGTGCTGAATTACACAATTCAAGCAACTCGTGATATGACACGACGATTATTATTTTTTTTGGGGGGGGGTATTGATGATCTATCTAATACTCGACAGAGCAAAACTTTTGAAGGAAACCACTAATTGGCAGTAAAATCTATACTTCTATAGGCCACCATTTACGTATCAATATTCGAGGAAGAGAAAAAACAACAACACATTAACATTAACAAAGCAATCACTAATTGTGAACAACAGTGATTAAGATAACTTAATGTCATATATAACATGAAGGTTCTTTTATTTTGATTTCACATATCATTTGAAAGAAGAAACAGACAAAAAAAAGAAAGAAAACAATTAACTTACTAAATGAATCATCTAAAGATCTAGCAATTGGAAATTTCAAAGGATCCGGACTATGAATAAATGGCCATGACATTTTATGTTGCTAAAACAAGGTATCCAACAATAAAATGAGAAAAAAGAAAAATGTAATTAAATTTCAAAATCTACAAACGACAAAAATACATATGACAATTTTAATAAAAAGTTTATATGTGCCAATAATAACCAGCTTAAACGTAATTGTTAATTAAAATCACATATAAAACTGTAAGTTGAATTCTATGGTAAGATAGTTCTATTCACTGTCATTAGTTATAAGGTTAGTAGAATCTGCAGCATACTGCATGAATCGGTTCAAGCGATCACATCATCTTAGCACGGTGTGATGAAATTATCAAGATAAATGTCAAAAAGTAACTAGAAATATTAAAGAGAAAGAATGTTATATTTGTAAAATCTCAGCGAAAGAATTTGAAGTAAATTCAACGTTTCGCCTGGCAATCTGATCCGAGCTTTTTCAAGGAAATAGTTTTAACAATAATAGAACAAAACATCAATATATAGAGAATACAATTCTTAAAAAAGAATGGAAGGATTTCTTGAATAAAAAGTATAATATGATATAATTATGAAACACTAAATTTACAGTCAGTCAGCTACAAGGTAGGACCAGGCACATATATGCATCGGTTCAAGTTGCCATACCTCACTAACACAACAAGATGGACACCGGATTCATAAAAGTAGTTAATTCAGAGGTGGTAATATATAAAAGGAAGATTGCATGTAAGCACATAGTACAGGAAGAAAGATATGAAGCGATTTTAATCTCTTAGTTTAAAGGAAGACAGTGAGTGTATACACCTACGCCATTGTGATCGATTCTCAGCCATGTCACCAAGAGTCTCCAACCATTGTTTACAAGAGAAGATGGATATAATGGAATGGGCCCATCACAATAAGACAAACGTCCACATATATAGAATGAAACAAATTCGGCGAGACTCTAATTTATGGACGACCTTTGAAGGAATCTTAAGTAACCTTGATAAATATTAGCCAATCAGCAAACAGTTAGTATAGAGTAAAAATATATTATACAAAACCAAGGAAATAAAGTGGATACACTTCTTATACGTGGTTGAAAAACTTGTCAAGGTTAGAAAGAAGTTCAGAGGTTCTAAAATCGTAATGCATGCAGCAGAGGAAATCATCCATACGGCTACAGAATAGTCGGCCTCTGGAACCAAGATAAAGTCTCAAAAACGCTTTCAGCCTCAACCACATAGCTTCAACACTGTTTATGTGCACTCCGGTTGTTGAGTGCACAAAATGCTACTTGTGGATAACGACACGACACACATGACCAAGTCTATGTAGAAGTCTGTACGCTCTCCTAACATCCGTATATATTGTAGTACCTGGCTGCAGCCAGTGTTACTTGTGCTTTTATTATCCAGTTTGCAATAATTGTCGTAATTTGCCTTAGTTAAGATTTATATATGGGGTTTTCATCATGAACTGACATCAGCTATAATGCCAGAAATTTATTCAGCCAAATGGATGAAAGGCTTTCGCGTTAAAATCCGAGATCTATTATCTTATACCTGATTGATTCGTCCACAAATTATAGTCCCGCCGTTTTATTTGTTATAGCCGCTCAATTATCACGTTTTGTACAAAATTCCCTGTGAACCGATCGTACGTTAACATTAAGCACTGAAGTTGGCGCCGTAACCTTGAAATCTCTAACACGCATCTGATTGGCTCGTCCATAAACTAGAGTCTCGCCACAAATTCTTATGAAATAAACATGTAGAATATATAAATGAACTATGAAATTAAGAAAACACTTATAATACAAAGACAAAACTCTTTCAAGCTATTTTCATGTATTCGAGTAAAACCAAAATCATATATATATATATATATATATATATATATATATATATATATAGAATGGGGGAAACTCACTTTAATCTCTTCAATTAAATTAATTAATTTCTTTATTCTATCTGAAGTGAGGTTAGTTTCATAAATAGTTTTCGTGGCACCAGTTTGGTCAACATCAGTAACTGCATTATGGTTATTGTTAGATTTTTTCGACTTTTTCGATTTACCAGACGATTTCGTATTAGTAGTAGTATTCGTTTTATGTTGTGATAGTGGACAACAAGTTGGACAAAGATATGTATCTGTATGATTAACAGCTTGTTCAGGTGTTAAACCAACGCATTCAGGATGATACCATTCATCGCAACCATCACAAGCAATATATACTCTGGAGATTAGGAGCAACAATAGACAAACAAAGAAAAACGAATAGAAAATCATACAATCCATTTCATATTGCGTAACACAGTTAAGTGAAACATTTGTAATAGAACAGAAAAAACCACTTATAACTAATCAATGTCAGGACAGTAGCACAGTAGTTGATGCGTTTGACTTTCAACTATGCTCCGTTTACTTCGATTTGGACGCAAGGTAGTATCACTAGCTCTAATATTGTGAGAGTGGTTTGGAAATAAGTATATAAATCCGGACCTGGTAAATGAGTAGATTATAAAGTCATGTTCGTTTAGTCGATGGTGTCCCAAATACCTCAACGGCAATGTCTCGGATTGTGAAACTGTGTGTGGAGTGGGTCTGAATCTCATAGGGAGCATTAGCTCCTTCAAGATTCCAAGTAGACTTTTATGACCAGTTCTAACTAGCATGAAACCTAAATCAAAAATGGTTTCCTTCTGATTATCTTTTTAACAGAAAAAACCACTACAATATTGATCTAGTTTAAATAGTGTAACAGTGATTGAAATAAGTTTATTCATCTGATGCTCTTGACTAACTATACCAATATAAACATTTGATATTCCCTTCATTTACAGTTTACTCTACGAAACTTTATATTTAGAAAGTAACCGCTACATTGTGATGCCTTCTATTTCATAATCAATATATTCAGTCAGATAATTATAGTGATATGTTACCCAGCAAAGAGGAAAGTAGGTGAAGCGGGATTCAAACTTGAGAATACTGAACAGTTGAAAGTCAGTTGGTTTACGTCATTGGATTTAGTGATGGAGATTATAACCGCGCTGTTCGTATTTATAATTTAGACAATACGGTATCAAACAACTAAGAGTAATAATAAATCAACGCCGTTTCTTTTTGTTTTGAATTAATTCAATTTCAAATTCATTAGGTTCGATAAAACTGGTACACAAACCATTCTTAGCTGAAAACGGATATGAATACACGGTTGTTAAACAATATACTGGCCCGTTTATGAACTAAAAACATGTCTAATAAAAATCTAATACAAATAAGATTTAGTTCCATGAGAATTAACTTATAAAAATGAGTTATTCAATACAATGATTTGATTTCCCTCTTCTGTCAAACTAAATATAGATATACAAGACAACCGACTAATAATTAGGGAAATAATTAAACATTATTATTCAAAATATGGAAATCCAATATGTCTACTAAGTTAAATTTTAGATTGACAGAGCGAAATACATATATATAAAAACAAGTATAACAATTATTATTTACCTCGTTGGTTCATATGGTGTACGACAAACACAATAAAGCATTTCATTAGCTTTCAATTCAGCTTGTTTGCAATCAGGACAATGCCAAGAATCACCTAATTTATCAGAATCTTTAGGATCTAAACCAACACATTCAAAATGAAACCAATCTCGACAAAGATCACAACCGATATATTCCCTAGAGAGTAAATGAAATAACACATAAAATATTTATTGATTCCAAGCAAGTTTAATTCAACATTAAAAATGTAAACTTAACTAAGGTAGTGAACTAATAAATATAGATCCTGGGTTCCAATCTCGTGAAACGGGATCGTGGATGCGCACCGCCATTGAGGAGTCCCACAATAAGACGAAACGGCCGTCCAGTGCTTCTAGGTTTTCCATGGTGGTCTAGCTTTAATTGACTCATGATCTCAACTATTGAAATTACTATAATATCAACAAAAACCCCTTCTGATATTAATAAATATATTTTTGTGACATTCCAATGAGTAGAAAATTCTATTTCTGATGTTTCACGACTTAATGTAAGACACTTCTTCAGAGTTAAATAATAATCGAATTAAGTTAATACAAGTGAAGTAGTCGAACGCGTTGACAACTTCACTTATCTTGGAAGTCTGATCAGCCCTAATGGGTTGGTGTCTGACGAAATCTCAGCACGGATTCGAAAAGCTCGTTTGGCTTTTGCCAACTTACGTCACCTATGGCGAAGGCGAGATATCCGTCTATCAATAAAAGGACGAGTATACTGCGCGGCAGTCCGTTCTGTTTTACTTTACGGCAGCGAAACATGGCCATTAAGAGTAGAAGACACTCGTAAGCTATTAGTATTTGACAACAGATGCCTTAGAAATATTGCTCGCATCTGCTGGGATCACCGGGTAAGTAACAGTGAGGTTAGACGCATGGTATTAGGGAATGATGGTAAATCAGTTGATGAGGTTATGAATCCTTATCGACTGAGATGGTTGGGCCACGTGTTACGTATGCCTGAACACCGATTACCACGACGTGCAATGCTATCCGGTATTGGAAATGGTTGGAAGAAAGTTAGGAGCGGCCAAACCAAAACGTGGCATCAGTGCTTGAAGTCATTAACTTCTAGTCTGAGTCATGTTGGTAGATGCAGACTACTTGGTTGGGGTCCGCGTGACTTTCGTAACCAATGGTTGGAGACTCTTGGTGACATGGCTGAGAATCGATCACAATGGCGTCGGTGTATACACTCCCTGTCTTCCCTTAAACTAAGAGATTAAAATCACTTCATATCTTTCTTTCTACGAACCAATTCTTTCTTCTTGTACTATATCTCTATATGCAATCTTTCTCTTATATATTACCACCTTTGACCTAACCACTGCTATGAATCCGGTGTTCATCTTGTTGTGCTGATGCGGTATGGCAACCTGGACCGATGCACATATGTGCCTGGTCCTACGTTGTAGCTGACTGACTGACTGACATTATTTAAGCCATGAAACGTTAAAAATATGAATTTTCTACTCATTGGAATATAACAAAAAATAGATTTATTATTAGCTTAATATGCTTAATTTATTTGAGGCTATCAAGTCCAAACCTGGGTATCGATACCTACATTTTAGTGAACTGTTTAATAATGCAATCTCTTCATGTTGACAAGCGAAGGATACAGTAATTGAATCTTAGGAGTTTAAATAAACGAAATTATCCATATTTAAATAGTGATTACAAATGGATATCTAATGAATGCATAGAAGTGGAAAAGAGTTAATGAGATGATTATGTGACACGAATCGACTCTAAACTATACAGTGAATATGTTTTTGCTAAAATGTTTATAAGCCTATATGGTTCTAGACAGGTAGTTAGGTGTAAACTATTTGATTGATGCTATAATCTCAATCAGTAGATTGGAAATCTTTCCAATCAACTTACAACTCTATCTAGCTATCCTTATGTAGTCTGACAACTTGGAACTATATATATATATTTGTCAGATTATAAAGTTGTTTGTTTATCACTGGTTGGGTAATTGTTAATTTAATCAAGAATACTGCTATATATATCATGGTTTCTAAACACAAATCTACTCACCTTGATGGATTATATGGAGTTTTACAAACACAATACACTGAAGAATTAGAAGATACATCCTGTAAAACATTAGTAATTGATTCGATTTGTGTTTCATTTCTGTCAGATTTTTCAGAGAACTTGGCACGACCTCCTCCTTTATTACTACGTCCAGTGCCACTAGCACTACTACTTCCTCGCTTAGACCCACCCTCACCTACAGAAGATGATTTAGGTGATTTCATTGATCCTGTAATATTATAATTGTGTTCACTGGCATCTGAATTTGTAGACTCCTGTTTCAATCTCTTTGTTTTTGTACCAGATGAACGACTGGTCTTAGTTGAAGCCTAAAAACAATAGAAAATATATATATATATATATATATATATATATATATATATATATATATATATATATATATATATATATATATATATAAGGAATAAAAATAACGAAAACACAAAAAATTAAAACTACACGATATAACATAAAGAATCTTTATGTTAAGAAAGAAAAATACTGGTAGTGAAGGAACACTCAGGTGGACGAGATCAGTTTATTGTTTAATACAAAATCAGAGTGCCTTGGTAAGATACGAAAACCATACATTAAATACATCATTAGTACGTCATGCAATAGTTGTTGATTACATATTTCATGATTTTTCAAATTCCTCTCTGTTTCCTTTTCTGTTCTCATCAGTTATATCTTTTCAGTCTTCTACTGCCAGACATTACACTTCTGACTGGTATTACATTATTTCATTTATTTATTTAAACACATAAACATTGGTACGAAAAGGCACCAAATAAATTTGCGCCACACTACATAATTCAATCGGTGTGAGCGTCTTATCCACAAAGCAGTGGAGCAACTTCAGCAGATGTAGTACTATGTTAGCCGGTGACCAACAATAGGTTCATACGCCATTTGATTCTTTAAGATACTGAAGCTCATGTGCACCAATCGTTAGGAATCAGGGTTTTCCAACCTCCCTAGGTGGATCCTCCATATCTACTAACCCGGTTAAAGTGCAAGACATTCGCTTTTCGTCCTCTCGATTTAGTAAATAACACCCCCGCCGCGAGAAAGTAGTGAATAAGATATCTCTGGCAGTGGTTGTATACACGTGGCTATATTAGAGCATTTCGAGAAAGAGAGAGAGAGAGAGGACTCTCCCCACTCCTCTCAGCTATACCAGGGAATTTGGGGGCACATACTACTTACATCTATCAACATAAGTTGCATAAGCCACAATACGACTGAAATTAGCATTATATTTAGACAACAAAGGAGATAATTAAAAAAATAACCAAATATGAATAAACTAACCGTTGATTTCTGTTGACAAATATTATTTCCATAATCATCACCTAAACCAGGTGATGTACTTGCAGTAGAACAAGAACTATGAGTAGTAATAGTAGTAGTATTATCATCTGCATCATCATTCTTATCATTATCACTATCTTTATTATTATTATTTGTTAATAATTTCTTTGATTGTTTAAGAGATAATTTCATGGTTAAACGATTTTTATTGTTTGTTCTATTTGGAGATTGTTTTATTGTAGTTTTATTATATGATTTAGATAATTTAATAAATTCATGATTTAATGCACTTTTTCGTGGAATACGATTATTTGCTAATAATTCTGATTGATTAATTGGTTTATTATTATTATTATTAATTACATAAGGATTTTTATTTTCATCATCACTAGAAGATAATGATGATGATGATGAAAATGTCGGAGTAATTTTCCGTTTTGTACGTTTATGATAAACATCATTCTTTTTATTTGTAATAGCAGTAGTAGTGGTGGTGTTATCATTTTTGGTTTTACTAGGACGTCCAATTTTCTTTTTTGGTATTAATGTTGATGAGGATGATGATGATTTATTGTGTTGATTAACAATATTAGATCGACTTTTTTGTGTTAGTAATTTTTCACTGGTTTGATGATGAGGATGTGTTGATGATTGTTCTAATTTTTTTGAAGAATTCTCATTAAATTTATCTGCCTTAGAGATCTGTTGTGCTCCTTTGATTTCATTAACAGCAATCTGTAAAAGAGAATTGTTTGTTTTATAAATTAATATATGAGAATTATAACAGAAAAAAATGACACTGGCTTTGACAGACGTATATATATATATATATATATATATATATATATATATATATATATATATATATATATATATGACATTTATACGGAATAGACAGAATGCGAATAGCAGTTGGATCCAGTAAGTCCTCTTCATCTCATCATGAGCCCAAGAGTTGACGTCCATTCCGAGACTTAAACTCAGTACAGTTGGCTTCAAAAGCCATTGCATTATTCACTTAGCTACTGAGTCCTGGAGTGGATATCAACAATAGAATGTAGGTATATCTAGCTGACGAATCCCAAAAAGGACGAAGCGCGCGTCCTGAATTCCACTGCTAGCCACATTTGAATTTATTTTATATCAACTTGTCTCATAATGACTATATAAAAGAAATTTGGAAAGAATGACCACATGCCAAACAAGACTAATGAAATTTCAGTCAAAAATATCTATAACGGGATAATCCAAACCATTCCCATTTGACATTTGTTTAGATTTTGAAATTCGCCAAATATTAAAACAAACGTCATTTTAACTAAGGTTCATCATCACTTAGAATTATCATGAGAATTTAGGTAGTTGAATGTGTTCACCACCTTATATATCATTGGGAGTTTCATCAACCTTAATGAACTAGTCAGACGGGAAACAGTTATGGATTTTCTTAAGTTGCAACACGTATTTCAAAGAAGAGATGTCCGTCTGATTATGAAACATCAACTATGAAAGCAGAAGACAAACATAGGTTGCAAGTTCTTGATAATGTGTATCGTTGAAGTACTGCTTTTGTATGATGAGACAATTGAGTGTTTAATGTTGAGGTTGGGAATAGAGCACTAAACAAAGATAGTAAACCGATCAGAAAATGTGAACATTCTTTCTTATCCCGAATTATCAATTAAGTATGATTTTTTTAACTTAAAGCTGTGGATTTTCAAATGTTTTTGAATGTGGGTGAAGGAAAACTAATTGGCAATGGCTATGAAACTATCTTAGAGCATGTAGAATCAAATACACTATCTCTTTGTTTGAGCTGTTAAAAATCATTAAGCTAGAATACCATTATTATTATTATTATTATTATTCAATTATGGTATGTAGTCCATATGGTACATAAAAAAAACGGAACACACAAAAATAATCTACCAGTACTATCGACAAATTTACAACTGGTTGTCTGATCACTGAGTAGTGACCGATAGCATATATGACCAGTCCTTCTTAGTGCTGCTCCTACATACACACACATCTCAGCTGTACGGAATGTCATTCAAAGCCGGAAACGCCAAGTAGTAACGTCTCTGACTGTGACACTGAATGAGATAGGATCGAATTCGCCAGAGAACACCTGTTTCTTCAAGATTACAGGTAAATCTCGTTGACCAGTGCCCAATAGCAAAAATTCTAAGTCAGACAGGATTGTCTGTCGACTATCCACAAATGCTACTTTAATGTAGATAAACTGTGCACAAAACATTTTTCAGATGAATAATATCAATTTCATAACACTCAAATATACTAAAATAATAATAATGAAATACAACAGATAATACAGATGATGAATCAAACTTACATCAGCAAGTGATTTGGCCCAATTAAATATTAAACGTTTACGTGAACAAAATTGTGATTTCAATGAGCGTACACGTTGTTCTAACAAAGCACGTTCAAATCTTGCACGTCTAGCTGCAACCGATGCTCTAGCAGCATTTGTTGCTGCAATTGAACGAGCTCTAGCTTTTGCTTCTAACGTATTCGGTGAAAGAGGACGTGGAATACTATTATTATTACTCACTGAACGATCATCACTTCGACTTCTAGAATTTACTAGTAATAGGAACAAACAAATGAATGAGAAAAAATTGCAGATTATATATAACGTTGACTATCTTTGAGATTGCTACCGAGAAATCTTCAAAAATTTGAGGAAAAATGTTGAAAAAACTGTCTTATTAACACAATAATAGAAAATTTACCGAAAGATCTGGAAAACAGACGAATTATGTGCCATAATCTAACTGTCCTTGTTTACTGATATTCACAAGATGATTGGAACTTAGTACCTTTCGCTTTAGATGCTATTGCGTTATTCATTCAGCTACTGAATTCAAAGAGTCACTAATTTGCTTGAGGGGGATATTTATACGATTATTATTAAGAGTTTGAGTCCAGTAGCGCGTACAATAAACGAACGTTTCGAACTTCACGGTTAACCATAATTTATCTATCCTGTAAAACATGGCAAAATGGGAATAGCGAGGCGATCCTCACAGGATATATACAGTTTCATTATGGTACGATAAACGATTTTATTTTGTTGGTCAATTGTTATGAATTTGATAATATCTGTTTATTGAAACTTTCATTTTAAGAACTAGTACTCTGTGAGCAATTAAATGTTGCCCACTTGTATTATTAACATCATTTAGGTTGTGCTCGATCCATATCCACACAATTAATGTAATAACAGTCCCTGAAAGTAAATGTTATCAATATTTATAAAATAGTAAATTCTCAGCACAAAATAATACAGTCAATAAAGAAAATATGGTTAACAGGTGAATTCAGTCAGTGGATAGTTGTATGAACTTATATATTATATATATGTCAGAGCAAGTGTTATTACTGGGTTAACTAGACTGAAGTAAATATATAGGGCTTCGAAATTCAAATCCAACGACTGAAAGTCAAACGCCTTCACCACTAAACGTAAGAAAAATTAATAAATTCACTATAAATATGTACAAGAGATCTCTACACCCCAGTGTCAAGATCTAAAACAACCTATATAAGCATGAAATATAAAAATACAGATAAAAACGACAGAAAACATACCTGACATACGGCCAGATTGAAGGGCAGAAGCTAAAGTAGAACGTGAGCGTGAGGAAGAGCTATTCAACAGAAATCCGTTGGATTGACCACCATCATATAAAAAGCCATTTTTTTCAACATATCCTTCAATATTTGATGGAGAAATTAATGATTTATTAACTTCAGTAGTAGTGACAGTAGCAGAAGTTGAAGCATTTGAACTTGGATCTGGAGGAAGCGAAGCTAGCCGAGTGGAAATGACATACTGATTAGTTTTATCATTAGGATCTATCTTTGAAACATCACTGTCTGAAATAGGAGGATAATTAGATTTCGGCGGTAGTAAACTAGAAAGAAGACAGGGAGGGAGAAATACACGTTTACGTACAGTAAACGACGCCAATAATAATAATAATAATAATAATAATAATAATAATAATAATAATAATAATGCGAACCAACTCTAATGAGATACTGTCTATCATGATATGCTCTAACCAACAAATGAAAAAATGGAATTTAAGTCATCAAAACCAATAGTTCGTACCACTACAATACTGATATTTACCTATTTTGCACATCCTACGAGATAAATCCTAAAAAACACTTTATAATATAAATAATATCAGCTATAAAATTCTAAAATACAGTGTTTTTCCATCTTACTGTGGCTTTAATCGCGTCAGATCTTCTAAATAGAATTTAGATGTACCAGACAGAAATTGGAACTAAAGTAAAAGTGTAAAACAGAAAGCTACACAACTCACGAGTGACCAGTGTCATATATGCCTTGTCCTATAATAGTAAGAGAATTATATTGATCGAAGTATAATGTTACCCGGCTGGTGCACTAAGTTGAGATATTAAGTAGCTGGAGGTAATCGACAAGATCTAGGTGTCATGCTAGTCGGTACTCGTCAGAAATTGTATCTGTAATCTTGAGAGTTAACTCTATCTGTGTGATTCAAAACCACATCCACCTGCCTGACAGTTATATATATAATCACCGAGTTATTCAGATGGTGAACAACGTCTATCAGGACTGAGATATTTACAGCTGATCGATCACTTATCTAATTAAAATAAGATTACACGATGTGCATAAATAATGAATAAGTCTTTAGACATTGATTATGATTATTTCTCAAAGAAATAAAAGAATTTTTGCATAGTTCATGATTTATAAAATCCAATTCGAGTCACACATTACTCAAGACCCGGTTGACGTACCAAATTGGAGCAAAGTTTGGAACTAAGAATAAATTTCTTGACAAAGTACATAAAAGGATTAAAATTATTTATTGAATAAGGAAGGTTTAGTAGAAAACAAAAAAACTCACGAATTCATGAAAACACTAATTTCCCACAAAAACACTGCATCTTCAGACATCCACTTTTCCTCAACTGACACTTCATTACGCTGTGACTGGAGACCACGTCGTCCACCACAGAATTCTGGATCACCATCATCATCTGAATCGCAAAATGAACCTCGACTAGAACGACCGTAAGAACGAAAATTATTCCGCGATTGTCGGCGACTAGAACTATTTGAACAAGGAACTCCAACACGCCAACCTTCATCTACAGCAGGGTCGTAATCGGGGTCTTTTCCACCTTGAGCATTTCTCTGACCTCCACGTCTCCCTTTTCTCCTAGAACTTGACTCATCAGGTTCTGGAGAACCTTGAAGAGATGGACCTCTTGTAGATCGACCTCTATTAGATGGATCTGTCGCTTTACGCCTGCGGCTAGAATTCGAACGGGTTGGATAAGTTGTAGTTATACGAACTTTGTAATTAGCCTGTAGCCAAAATCGATCCTATCAGTAGAAAACAAAAATTTCAACACATCAGTAACAATCTTCGATGGAAAAAATAACACAAGTTCAAATCATTTGAAAAATATATACAATACAAAACGAAAAGAACTTACAAGAGGTTGAATTTCAACTATACGCCTTACGCTATAAGGCTTATTATCATCATATCTGCCTGAAACACCACTAACATCAATATCGTCGTCATCGTCATCAACATTTAAAATTTTTTTAAAGCAAGGTCGCCCATTGGAATCATGAACACATATATCTTTATCTGGTTCAACCATTATATCATCCCATCGAATACAATGCCATAATGTACGTAAAAGTAAAGCAAAATTAGCCAAATCTAAACCAAATGAGATATTGTTGTCATGATTATCTTTTTGAAAGCTATTCATTCGTATTTGACTAAGACGAAAACGCCAGCATTCTGCAAAATTAGGCCTTGAACTAGGATATAACCAGTTCACCTAGAATATAAAAATTACAATGATTTAGTAATTATTATAAGTAAGGAAATAAGTATACTATTATAAGTTGTAAGAATTTTATGAAAACAGTTATGTAAGCAATACAGCAAACATTAGTTAAAGTAAATATATATAAAATGGAAGAATTTGTTGTATTGTTAGAAAAATTAGGAAGTAGGCAATATACTAGGCGAGTATATTCATATCACGTTCCTGTTTAAATGTCGTCTTCTCAATGTTGAACAGTTAATAAATAAAAATTATGAGATACGCTAATGAAAGAAGTCAAACTGACACTTAGTCGAAATATTAGCTGACATGTCCTTGACTAAATCAGAAGGGCAATCGGATATATACACCTTTGATTTGTGAACATTATATTTCGATTTGGTAGTTAAATTTATCTGATAGGGTTTCACTCTTTATTTGCATAATGAGTTTAATGTATTAAAGAAAGTGAAAATATCTTGAATGATTCGGATCACAGAAAACAACCACAGGTGTGTTGGTATAAAGTTTAATAGAGAGATTTTGTCTCTCTATCTCAGAAGTTAAAGCAAAGAATATTAACGTTTGTAGTTTAAGGGAAAAAACATAAAGAAGGCATTGTAAGTTTCAGTCTCATGAAAAGTGTAACCAAAGAAAGAAACATTTGTTTATTTCTTAACAAACTGACTAAACGCTTCATAAAAAGACAACCTACATTAGTAAAGAATAAATGCAAAAAGTGTAGATAAAAGGGGACTACTTTTTTACCTGTGAAAGTCGCTTCTTTTCAACATCATATCCAGGAATTTCACGTCGACCAGCAGAAAGTATAACAAGGCGTAAATTATGAGGATTTATTCGGAATAAAGATGATTTGGGAAGAACCTGAATATCAATAAACAGAAAAAAAAAACGAAATAAGCACAATCAATAGTACTCAACTTATTTGTAATATTCTGCAACCATTTTCCACTGTCTTCAGTGAGTACCAATGATACAGTCTCCAACAATGTGTATCTGTATTCTCGAGGAAACGGATGTTCTCTGGTGGATTCAACCGCGTGTTATCCAGTTTCATAGTCAGAGGCGTTACTACTGAACTATTCGGATGTCTCTAACCGTGAATGTGATGGACAATATTAAATCCACCAGACGGACATTACCTTGGAGATTATAGGCGAAGCTTGTTGACGAGTGCCGAGTAGAACAAAACGTGGGTAAAATGAGGAATCCTTTCAAATACATCCAATAAGCATTTTACATCTCAACATAGTGCACACGATGTCGAATAACTTGGGCTAGTGGCCACATTGTAACTTGATCGATAGAAGTCGATCAACACTAAGGAGTATTTGACGTACATAACAATGGTTAGAATGCTAACATTACGTAACAATATATGTCATATTTACAGTTGATTGTTCACTTCAATCTGTTTGAAATTATCAATAATTAAACCTTGATAGTGATATTTATAAAGCTGTGTTTTTAATGCTGTAAAATAATCGCTGTGGTTTGTAATTGCTACATTTTTGTGATGTAGATTATGGTATCATCAAATTACGAACAACTAAGGACAATACAAAATCTGAACGAACTAGACACATCGAATGACCAATAGCACAGCAATACTTTAACAATTAATAATCCACACGAGAATAAGATAGAGGAAAGATGGAATTTTCTACAGAACCCTAATATTTCCAATAGAAGTCATGACAGTAACAAAATAACTATGTTTATGTAATTACGAATATAAAAAAGCTGAGATATGTGGCAAAAATAGCCAATCGAAAAAACGAAAACAACCATTCTCAATAAACGCCATAAGTCAGTGAGGAAATACATAGTGGAAAGAAATAACCGAGGACTTCCTTACAAGTCATAACTACAATTTATTAAAGAAAAATTGAGAAAATCAGATGACTTACTAGCAGCAATCTTAAAACGTTTTCAAAACTGTTTCTTTTTATATTTCGTCACAGTATGTTGTCGACATGTCGCTTTTAATGAAACTCAGAATCTGAATACGATATCCTACACTCATTTTTAAGTCAAATACTACATAGATTATAGCTGACTAATCAAATTGAAAAAGGTATAACCTTTCATCAAACTGAAGCAGGTAAGATTAGATAGAAACATAAGGCTTTACACCACTAAGTTATCTCTACAATATGATTCTTAGTTCAGAAATTACTTGAATTAAAACTGAGGGACGGACAACAATAATTTCATCATAGTCACCGGAGTGGCTTACAGCAACTAAGCAAGTGTTTTATGACTCAAATGAGTTAAGGTGGCTGGAAAACTTGTAACTTTAGGTCCTAAACCATCCAGGAAATTCCGACGGAGAACGGTAAGACGAGAGTATCGACTTAAGGTTTAAGAGTGGAGTTATACTGTTAACCGGTCGGTAAAGCCTAAAAATAGCACATCACGTTGGACCACGGATTCTTGTCGTCTGTGACAAGGCCTTTTCTACGTTTGAAGAGATTACGGTATCACATAGAACCACATACATATTTACTGCGTACGATGATAAAATAACTAACCATATTTTGTTTCTGTTCGCTACTACATTGATCCTTCGACATGGAATCTGGAAGTGGCCATGCATAATCATTTACATAAGGTAAACTTTGTGGTAACATAGCATTCGTAGTAGTACCATAATCTTTGCCGGCTTGATTAGTTGTTTTCTTGTTATTGTTACGCAAAAATTTATTCACAAATGTTTTGTTGTTCAAATCGAAATCGGCGTTGTTACGTAGTGATAATGAATACGGTGAACTGATGACTGGTGAACCACGATTGACAATCTCTTGATATTTGCCTAGTTCTGATTTTAACGAATTAATTTGAGATTCTAATTCCTGTGCCTGATAATAACAAAAATAAAAGAGGTTTCCTTTTTTTTAATAAAGAAACAAATTCCGAAATAAACAATGGATAGGACAAGGAAAATAAACAAGATTAGTTCAAATAAATTATTTACACACTGATCTTAGTTAGACAACTATTGTCAACCTTGAAGTGAATAGCCGCTTCGTCTTAGTATGCGACTCGTCAGTACTGCGCATCCACGACGCTGCTTCTAGGAATCGAAGGTCCTAAGTTCGATTTGATATGAATTTTGTAAAAGTGGATGTGCGACCCAAAATTTAAACCGAAAAACCTACAATTTTTTAAAACCATCTAACATAGTGTACATGATGTTAATCAGTCAGTTATACGCAAAGTAGGACGTGACACATTTGTGCATTGGTTCAAGTTGTCACAATTTATTTGCCCCCAAATGCCCTGGTACGGCCGAAAGTGGAGAGAGTCCGCTCTCCCTCTCGAAATCCTCTCACATAACCACGCGTATATAGCCTCTATCACGGAAGTCCTACTCAATGCCTTCTCGTGTCGGGGCTGTTGTTTACGAAAATGAGAGGACGAAAAGCGAATGTCCGGCGCTTTAACCGGATTCCAAACCAATGGTGAAGATGGGCTCCATTATCCTGAAGGAACAAATGGCGTATGAACCAGTCGTTGGTCACCGGCTACCATGTGACTGCATCTCCATACGATGCTCCACTGCCTTGTGGATCAGACCTTCAGGTCAAAGGCTCGTGGAGTGGCCCCCTAAGAAAACCACTTGTTTCGGTTTGGGCACCCGAGCAGCATCAAAACCCTCACACACATCAAATTAGATTTGTGTGGCGCATATGTATTTGGTGCCTCCTTGTATCAATATCTATGTGTTAAAATAATAATAATAATACATAGAAAATATGATTGGAGAAGGGAGAATGAAACCATAAAATAAAAGGAATAAAATAATCTGAAACTCAGGGTATGAGAGATAACAAAAGCGAATACATTTCAGTCATTGTGGTCACATTTGAGCTACATCAGTAAACATCAACCATGGGCTACGATAATTTTCTAAACCCCAACCAAGCATTCTCCATAAACAAATATTCAATGACTTTATAAGTCAGTCAGTAACAATGTAGAACATTGTACGTACGTACATCAGTTCGAGTTGCCACACCACATTAACATAAAAGTACAACTGTCGATTCAAATCCCATAGTGATAGAGGTAGTAAGAGTATAAACAGTAATCGGAAACATTACGGCTTGAAGATGTTATTCAAGGAGTATAAACCAGTGAAATAATTTTGGAAAGAGAAAAAAGAAAGGGACACAAAGAATTCAGAAAATTAGAATTTGGGAGAACACAAAGAGTGGATGCATCTGCGCCATTGCAAACGATTTTGAGGTATGTAATCCAGGGTCTCTAACCATCGGTTGCTATCATCTCGCGGTCCCCAACAAGGTAGTCTACACCTATCAACATGGTTCAGTCCACTTGTCAGTAACTTCATGGATTTGTGCCACGTTTTGGTCTGGCCACCCCAACCCTTCCAACCTACTCCTACACCATAAAACATCGCTCGTCGGTCGTTGGGCATACGTAACAAATGTCCCAGGCATCTCAACTGATCAAGTTTCACTACTTCATCAATTGGTTTGTTATCCTTACCTAGTACCCGTTTTCTAACAACTGCATTACTTACTCGATGGTCCCAGAATATACGAGCAATGCAATGATCGAATACTAGTAACCTACGAATATCCCTTATTCTTACCGGCCATGTCTCACTGCCGTAAAGTAGGACGGAACGAACTGCTGCGCAGTAAACACGTCCTTTTGTTGGTAGACGGATATCTCGCCTACGCCATAAATGACGCAAGTTGGCAAAAGCTAGTTGAGCCTTCTGTATCCGTGCTGAGATTTCATCACACATCAGACCACAAGGGCTGATGAAACTCCCAAAACCAATGACTTCATACAATTTTCAAACGTTAATTGACCTGAGACGCGTCATTACAGATGAATTTAACAAACCTGTAATAAAGTATATAAGTAGTTTACACTCTTGAATACATTCTCACTTCTGACCTACCTCCGAACGAACTGAAGCAATCTGAGCATTAATAGCGTCTAATTTAGCACTGGCTTCTGTCACAGCATGATCTAAAGCCAGAGTTGCTTCATCAACAATTGGAGTTTGTAATCGAGCAGCAGTTGGACCACTATCGAACTGTCTAACTAAACCTTTATAATCAGAAATCAAAACTTTCGATTTATTATTCATTATGAAACGAGGATCTTCATCTATTAATGAATTATGACGAATATGTTGAGCTTTGGCTATTGAACGTCTACCTTGATGTAGATCTGACATTCCTTGTGAATCAGATATCACTGGTCGAATAGATGGTCCAGTTGATATGTATCGATTGAAACCACCTAATTTGAAAAAGATATATACATATATTTAAAGTAATAAACAAAATGAGAATCATTCAAAAACATATACTACTAACTTTAACTTTCGGTTTTTCTTCTTTTTAATTAACATATTTATCAGGCAGAGATTCGATTTACACTCTAAAGTGTGAAGACAAGTGATACTACATCGATGGCCAAAATGGACTAACTGGATTAAGATTGTATCTTCAATGTCTGACCTACCTTTCCTACTAATCAGGCATTTTTTCCAGCCAATTTCATCTCGCTGTGCTAATGTAGTGTGACAACTTGAACCGACACAAACATGTGCCAGGTTCTACTTTGCGTAAGACTGACTGATTGACCAGCTGAATTAGTGATAGCATAAGACTGATTAACAGTTATGAAATAAATGAGTAGTACATGGAATAAAATTCAAACAACTATGATTAATGAATTATCAGATATAGTTGAAATATTTGGCATGCGAAAACAAGTTGACAGTTCACTCTCTTAAAATATACATAGGTAGTGTTGATTACAATTTGACTTGATTTGAGGTACTAGTGAAAATAACTGAAGTTGGAATTGTACCACTGGAAACTAGCCTGGTAGTTCTAACAGTTAAGATTTCGATGCGAGACCCTGAGTTCGACCTCTGCAGGGAACGAAGATGAGCATCACTGAAGATTCCCAAACTAGGACGAAGAGGCTGTCAAACGATCCACAGTTTTATGTTAAAATCAAGATGGAAATGGATTTGAAATGATAGCCAACTTAGAAACGATTACTTAGTATTTATGAACCTACCGCAGACCAATTGTCGGGCTGTATTTGTAGCAACAAGACTTGCAACTGATGGAGTTCGAAGAGATGATGATTGCTGTGTACCAACAATTTGTGGATAATCACTCGATGAACTAACTGGTAAAATTAAACTAGTCGAAGATGGACCACCACTACCAGCAGCAGCTAAAGTACGTCGTAATATAGCGGGAGGTGGTTTACGAGGCAGTATTGGTGTAAATGATGATGTAACCGCAGATGTGACTGCGTTAGGATCTGAGGAAACATCTAGAAAAAAAGGTGAACAGGAATGACAAATGATGTTACAAAGCATTATGCATCAGTAAACAATAAGAATGAAGGACATATTGAACAGGTATACAATACACACACAGAGGGATCATGCAATAGCCAGTGCTTCTTCATGTTAATCAACTTCGTATTGATAATAACCATCAAACAATTTCACTTCAAATAAACATTTCCACTAAAGTGAGAAACAAGGAAAAAAAGACTAATCAAGTTTTTTATGCTTAATTTATAATATTTATCTGATGACTTGCTAAACTGATGAAAATGATGAAAAAAATACCAGTGTCCAACCAATGATTCGTTTGAAGCATTACTAATGATCTATAGTGAAACCGTTAAGTAATGCTGAAAATACTAACATGGTAATGAAAGTAGGTCAGCAATAAAGCTCTGAAAATATATATCAACTGTGATAGAGGTGTTTTATTAAATATATTTGTATAAGGACTAGTGACCTATATCCAGGTTCTCGAAATTAATTGGGCAGTGTTGTGTATGTTCTTTGAAAAATTAAATTATTAATAAAATGTCATTTCACAATTGATTGATTACTGGGTGGCGATCAATGTCATGCGTGTCTAGTCCTTATTTAGTGCAGATCGAATGCTATCGACCATGTTGCAATGTGGCCACCAGTCTAGATGACTCGACATTGCGTGCACAATATATTGAGATTAGATGATGATTGGAGGTAGTCGACAAGAAACCCTGGACCCGGGTTTCGTGCTCCTTGGCACTCGTCAGCAAGATGTACCTGTGATCTTGGGGGAACTGGTGCCCCCTGGCGGATTCGATCTCGTGTCACCCAGCTTCACAGTCAGAGACGTCACCACTGAGCTATCCGAGCCGCGACCAACCTCCTCCAGTGGTGACGTCTCTGACTGTGAAGCTGGGTGACACGAGATCGAATCCGCCAGGGGGCACCAGTTCCCTCAAGATCACAGGTACATCTTGCTGACGAGTGCCAAGTAGCACGAAACCCGGGTCCACGGTTTCCTGTCGACTACCTCCAACCACCATCTAATCTCAAAATGTCATTTCTTTCACCAGCTCTGTACGAAAAAAATAACACGAAGATATTGAATAAAACCTGTAAACATAAATGTGCAGAGAATGAAATATTATTCACCTGACTGATTTGATGCTTTAACTATAGTGATTGTAGGCGTTTGACTTGGAGGATTTGTCGATCCACTACTATCACTAGTTGTAGTAGCAGTAGTACAAACTGTAGGTGCAATTATAAATCGAACAGAATTAGCCGATGGAGGTTTCAACTTTCCAACAGTAGCAATATTGACAGTGGCTGGTTGATTGATTAGAGCAGGGATTGAGACAGTAGTATTGGATACAGTAGCAGGAGTGATCAAATCAGTAAGTTGTATTCCACATTGTTGTAAGTTAGTTGTAGATATGGTAATTGGTTGTTGTGATGTTTCATTCTCGACGGAGATAGATACAAGAGGAGTGTTTGTAATAGCAGGCTTAAAAATAAAATGAATTTAACGGGATTTTTTAAAGACAGTTATTTGTAAATATGCTATATCAGTGCAGTTGAATGAAAAAATCATAAGAGACTTAATTCAATGAATCACCTATCAATCTTAATATAAATATCTTGAGTAACAGATTGTAAGAAACTCATTGCTGAAGCATAGTACGCCTGTGATAGGCATTCTCCGGTGTGCTCCTCTACCTGAACTGAGGTAATGCACGAATTCATCAAACGAGTTACCTATTATCATTATAGGTACGATTGCCCCGCCTCCAGAGATGGTGGTTCTGTGGTGTACGGGGATTCCGGTAGCTGAGGCAGTTTTCGGGACAGCTAATTCGATCATCACGTCCCTATTTTCTCATACTTCATAAAATGTGTTCAGGATATTACGCTGTTTTATGTGTATCAAATTTATAGGTTATAGTTCTTCTAAGGATATATTTCAATATCATAACAGTTAAGACTGAACGCTAAACAATATCTTGAATCGCCACCGGTAAAATTATTGCGCGAAACATAGACAGAAACTATACTAAAAAATGTTGACTAATTTAATTTAGAATAGCATAGGCTTTTAACAACACCAAATTTAATATCATACAATTTTCAAACAGACACACTTAAGTCTTCACCTACTTTAAGAATTCTTACTTATTTGTTTGAACACATAAATATTGGCAAAAAGGGTCACCGAATACATATGCAACAAGTTATTCGATTTGTGTTTGGACCGTGATACTGCCCGGGTACTCAGACCGAAGCAAGTGGTTTACTTAGGGGGCTAAACCCGAAACCCTGAGGCAGTGGGGCGACGTCAGGAGATGTAGTACCATGGCAGCCGGTGACCAACAATAAGTTCATACGCCATTTCTTCCCTCAAGATACTGGAGTCCATGTGCACCATTAATTTTGAATCAGTGTTTTCCAACTTCCCTAGGTAGATCCTCTATATCCACCAACCCGGTTAAAGCACCGGACATTCGCTTTTTATCCTCTCAATTTCGTAAACAACACCCTCACTGTGAGAAGGCAGTGAGTAGGACTTCTCTGGCAGGGGTTGTACGCACGTGGCCATATGAGATCATTTCGAGATGGAGAGCTAACTCTGACCACACTCAGCCGTACCAGGATATTTGGGGACTACCAGGGCCTTACACCAGTTCCGTTACTGAACTGTTAGAAACTAGTGCGACTGTTTGAGAGTTTAGGCTTTCAAATAATAGGCTGTAGGTTCGAATTCCGTACCGTCTACTTCATTTTTGGAATCCAGGTCAGATTACTAGTCCTGACGAGAAAATTTTTCACGGCTCTAAGTCGAATGCATTAATTGCATATCTACTTCTATCTCATTACTCAACACAAAATGTCCGTAGAGATCTCATGAGTTTCGTGCAACTCCAGTATTGATAAGCACACAAAGACGCAATATTGATGTAAATTACTCGACGAAATTTCCTAAGCTACAGCCTTTACATACAACATCACAAAAACGGTGAAAATTAAATATTTCTGATTGTCAATATTAATTCTAAGATCTACTATGGTATGACATCAAATTTAGACTGGTAAGGAAATATGAAGAATTATAAACAACAGCTTCATGCTAGTTCCAAACTACTCAGTATTTGTACATTTACAACATAGAATCTAACGCAGGACTTTAAAAACATAAAGGGAGGAATTATCGGACTCACACTCTCACACACACACACACACACACACTGAAACAGCTTTTTTTTAAATGTTATTAACAACGAAAAAAGCTACTTTCAGATTAATCAAACCATTGAATAACTTTCTAAAGCCTGTACACTATTTTTTAATAGTTTTACAGTCCATATCGATGGTGAAAAAAAGTCTCCAACTGAATAGATTTCCGTTCAAATATTAAATGCAAATTCATCCAGGATATTTTACTCAATAATATATGATTAGCTTTAGATTTAATAGTAAATTTAGTCAAATAATCACCAAAAACTAGTTCTATACTAATATGGGACTCCACTGCAGTGTACATCTAGCCCGATCCGAGCACACCGACACAAGGATAGATCCTTGTCCTTTTAAGTCTTGTTGTGATCACTTAAAGTCCAGTCAATTCATGATATTTTATAACCATCATACATCGATATTGAATCAATATATCTGACATCTGATATGGATGAACTCCGCTAATCATGGCTTCTCACTAGAATATCAACAGATAATAGGCAGATACATCTATGTAGTGCTTCCCTGAATTTTGATAGTTTTCCATTAATAAAATTGATTTGTGATATGAAAATTTAATTTCAACAATTCCCACAACCAACCCGCAGTATATTTAATTTAATGCAACTCATTTACTAAATAAAAGAGTTCATGTGCACTCTGGTTTGAGGAATACTTCATGTTTTATATACGGGGTAAGTGACACGAATACTACTAATGTATGGCCATCCAAACCACATAAGGTCTGAAGTTAGAGTTGAGATTGATTTCTATTTAATTGAGATAGTCGGATGTATTTACAACAATTTGGCATATTGAAATCGATTTACCTTTAATTCACATGAGGTTGTTGCCGTTGTCAATATAACCGATGGTTTTGATATGGTAACAACATTATTAGAACCAGTTGTACTTGATGAATTTAAAACTAAATGAATGTCACTGCTATCGAAGGAATTCAATCCAGTCGTAGATGATGATGGTACAAGATCACTTTGACCGGTAGTGTTAGTAATAACTGGATAATCAATTTTTAGTACAATGAAGCGAGAAAAAGATAGGGGATTAAGTAAAGGAAAAATCAGACAAAACAAATGACAAGTAACAAAGCTGGAACAATTAAATAATAGTGAAGTCACACTAGTGATGATCAATTAAGAAACAAATGTATATCCATTTATCTTAAGCCTAGTACAAAATGGCTTCCGATAAAAATTGCCGAATGTTGTTACTGGAAAATACAATAACCATTTGACAGCTTTATACATTCACTATACTGTTGGTTAGTTAGAGGGTTTATACAAAATTTTCTTCTAACTACTAAAATCTTCAACCTAGTGCGCCCAAAGTTGGGTTAATTAAACAATAATAAAACTTGATCGATTGAATTCGATCATCATTAAACAACTAGACAAACATTATATTAGTCACTACTACTTCGCAATGATCCAGTCAGCTGTAAATCAAATATATAGACCAATATATTACAACATAATTTTACCTAAGATAATAACGATGGGTTTTTTATATGAATTGACTGGGAGATTAAAATTAAGTCACTTAAATTGCGGTAGAGAATGACCACTTATAAAGCATGAGATGGTTTACAAATGCCGCTAGGAGGCATCCTACAACATGATGTTCATAGTAAATATTTTTAAAGAAACATAATAACTAAGTATCTACGTATAGTCTATTTCTGGATGATACTTACTGATTGCTAACCAACTATTCGGACTTAAATTAATGAGAACCAAGTCTACCTTTTAAAGTCTTAAATTTCAAGATACAAATATCCGACAGATGAGTTTTAATAATAATTTAGAAAAAAATCAGCAAATTTCTAGAGTTACAATACGACAACTGAAAAATTATCATTTCTCTAGAAAAAGAGCGATTTTAAAGCAGAATACAAAAATAACCATAAAACATGTAGCATTAGAAAACAACAAACAAACAACGAAACAATATATAGAAAAAATATTTTACTTGAATTATCTACAGTTTGATTGACATTTAAAGGTTCTATTGTTGGTGATAGAATAGTATCTGTAGCAGCCACGGGAATTATATTAGTTCCACCATCGGGATTGCGTACAATTCTAACTAGACGTAGACCTTGAGGGATATTGACTGATGGTTGGCTAGGAGGAAGGTGAACAGCTTGACTAGTACCTTCCTTAACATTCCCTAATGATACTGTCTAAATTAAGGGAAAATAAAGAAGTGCAAAAAAAAACGTAGACATAGAAGATACAAACATTGACCAATAGAAAGGGGAATTCATGCTAATCATCGCAGACATGAATACAGTGATAAATGTGAACTCAATAAAATTACTCAAAATGATTGAACACTCCAAGTATATTAATTTATAAATCCTAAACGTTCAAAATTACAAATACACGAAGAGATTAACAGTATATTATATGATTGACTGAAGATCAGATAGCTAAACTATTATAGTAGTAAATGGTTAGTTCAAACATGAATAATTTTAACAAGATAATTACGATCAACAAGGAAAGAATGAGTGTTTGCAAACTTTTTTTGTCGAACATCATTCTACACTACTTAATTGGTAATGAGTATAAATTATTATCTTCTTGAAATAGGCATTTGAAAAGATAGAATTCTTGTCATCACCACATGTCATCAAAAATAGTCGACAAGAAATTCTGAACCTGGATAAATCATTAAGTAATGTACGTGCACATATGTAAATTAGGAAATATTTCTCTGAGTAAAAATTAAATGTTATTCACTCTCAACAGATATCAACTTTTTCATCTGAAGTCAATGAATAATAATAATCCAAAACAATGAGTCGATCACATATTACACGTTATATCTTAACAGATAATTCATGATGCACTGTATACGTTACTCCTTCTCTCCTTGATTGCTAGATATCTCACAATCAGTCAGTCATTCAGCTACAATGTAGGACCAGGTAAATGTATCTTGCAATAAGCAGTACAGATGAGAGAAAATAAGACAAAATTGTTTTTGTACCGATGCCACGATTTTGTCAACCACTAAGCGATCAATCAAGTTTGATACGACTACTAAAATAAGTGATTTTATACCGACACTGGATGAATGAAGAACATTCGAACTATTATTATGTTGTGTTCAGCTTTATATTTAGGGTATGCTAATTAGTCCTAATTTCAACCCATCAACCTTCGGGTGATTGTTCTTTTCAGGTGATTGGAAAGAACACAGATATACTACTCCCGCTTAACTTTTGTGTTTGATATGTAAAAACTAGGATGGTGTTTATTTCCTATGGAGGAATATAAAAAGCATTAAAAACAACTCAAGTGTTTTCCAAATAGTTTACCTTGTTGTTAGATACTGATTTTTCATTTGTATTAGTTGGAGTCTTCAATTTAGCAGGCAAAATAATACGTTGACCAGTTGTTGTGGTACTAGGAGGAATTGAAAGTACTCGTGGAGTAGTGTTATCCTTATTCTTAACAGTGGTAGCAGTATTTCCATAAATATATGGTGCAGTGTTATTTTTCAATATCACAACTTTCGGTACAACCTATTTTCATATGAGAGGGATTAAAAGTACAGTGATTAAATGAGATAATCTAACATGGTGAAAAAAGCAACTTATTTGATGATTGAAATAAATGTATACATCATGAGCATAAACGATGCTGAATTCTGCGCGAGCGCACACATACACAAATATAAACGCAAATAAACTCATGTTTCTACTACTAAAAATGAGGTTTAAAAAAAGGAAATCGAAGGAAGAGATAACCATGTGTTAACAGGATACAACCATGAACATTATGTTCCAATTAGGCTCGTATTGCTTTTGGAATATGCTGATTGATGGCATTTTAATAATCCAATTCCAGTGGACGAATTGAGAAGCTAATGGGAGATCCCTACGTAAATACTATATAAACTCTAATGCTTTAATAACTGAATGATTGTAGTTCAAATTATTGGAAAATATCCATCGTTCGTCCTCTCAATTCTTGTTTTGACTTAGGAAGAATCAAGTGAAATATAGTGTCTAAGAGATACTCTAGATAGTAGGAGAATATAACATTGTGTAGCATAACACTAAGACGTATAAATTTCGAATGGGGAAAAACGGTTTATGGTAACTTAATGCTATATCCAGTCTTTATTAAGGCTCTGATTTCTAATAACACATGCGTCTATATTTAAAAAAACTCACTACTTTGCAAATTGTTCTTAGATTTTTTAAAATCAAACCAATCTTCCGATTGCTTGATGGATCAGTGAAGATCACATGAACGGCTACACGCACAGCTTTATGTATATAAATATTCACAGGTGGTATCAAATAATTTTATCTTTTATTTGTTCAAACAATAAGCAGCATATTTTAGTGGTAGGCTGCGACAGATAGATATGCCGGTTCAATGCCAAATTATAGATAAGAAATGTTGACAGGCTCATGTTACCGGTCAATTTTCGGTTTAACCTTATAAAAGAGCCCCTATACACAACTGGTTGAGAATCAGACTTGATTTAAGGAGGAACATGTATCTATGTTAACGAATGGGTCTGTGAACATATTCACTTGTTAGCTAAGAATAGGCAGACGACATCGTTTTGTTTTGTGAAGAGGGACAACCTTCAACAACAATGTAAGCATGTTTGGGTTGTGATTCTCTCCCTCCAAACAAAAAATGATGTTTCAGGATCAACCTGCGTCAGTGTCTAAATGACTGATAGGGCGCGAAGTAACAGAGCAGATCGATCACTATTATCTTGGTAATCCCATCAGTCCCGACGGACTGATATCTGACAAAATCTCGGGTTGGCTTTTGCCGACTTATGTCACTTGCGGCAAATGTGAGATATCCGTCTACTAAAAAAAGGACGAGTCCATAGTGAAACAGTGCGCTCCGTTATATTTTATGGGTACGAAACATGGTCATTCTTAGCTTACTAGTATTCAAACATAGATATCTTTAAAGCATTGCTTGCGTATTTTTCGATCACCGAGTAAGAAATCGCTGCGTTAAGAATAGGGTATTACATAAGGATGGAAAAACGATTGAATAGGTAGTAAATTCTCATCAATTGAAGTGGATGGGACATATATTGCGTATAATCAACCACAGCCTACCTCGACACGCTACGTTGTCTGATATGGGAATAGGTTGGAAGAAAGATAGAGACGGTCTAACCAAGACGTGGCATCAATCCATCAAAACAATGACGATTGGATTGAGTTAAATACTTGGGCGCATACCACCTGGTAGTAGTCCGCATGATTATTGCAACTAATGGTTGAAAACTTTGAACGACATGGCTCAAAACCGTTTGCAATGGTGCAAGTGAATCCACTCTTTGTCTTCCCCTAAAATTCTAAGCTTTTGACTTCCGAATGATTTTTTTGTTCCCCTAATATTTTTTTCATGAACGGTACCATGTGTGCTTAATCTTTTCTATTACCATATATACTGTTAATACCTCTACTAATCTGTGATGTTTGGCCTGACAATTTCATCTCTGTGCTAATACAGTATAGCAACTTGAATTGATGGACAAACATACCAAGTTCTACATTGAGTTTGACGGACTGATTAAATTACAGCATATGCAACTTTTCTTCATAGACATTATTTGTTATGGAACAAGAGTATTGGAGAATTTAGAACTCTTTTAACTATTATTATTTATATTTCTACTGTATAATTAATAAATAAAGTGAACCACTATATTTCTATATTCTGCTTATTGTAAGCTTTTGTTTAATAAACTGATTAGTATTATTACACGTTATTATTCCTAAATTATTGCTAATTGAACTATTTGAGATTGCCTGGTGGCTCATAGACATTCTTGGCCTGTTTGTACATAAGTAAGATTTTATATTTTATGGTGTGATGTAGTTTGACTTACTAAGTATATAAATTGACGAGTGCTCGAAATAGCTACTGTGCTGTACTGATGAGCTGGTCGGTTCGAATATGATGGATAAGGTTGATCGGGGTTTTCTTTTCGGACTAAAGGATATAGATAGGAGAGGACACTGCGTATCAGTGGACCAACAGGAATTAAGCTTACGTTAGCCCAAGGTCAAATGTGTCAGTTAGAACATACTGTTGATCAAGGCTAAGAGCACCAGGTTATGGACGAAACAGCAGATGCAGGGTAGATAAAATATAATCGAAATCCTGATTGGCGAACTTAGCAAATGATATTGATTAAATGCTCAGATATAACATTATTGATAGTTATTAACTCATTCACCAGGTATTTAAGTATGATTAACATTAGGACTGAGGGGTTAAAAAAATACTATCCGATTGCCTAAACCGAAATAAATAGAGCAGTGTTCGAACCGCGGTCCGAATGCCTTGCCTATTAACCAATCACACTTAGCATAACTAAATAATGTGCTTTTTCGAAATAATGACTTACAGGAACAGTATCTGATTTAGCTGAGTTTGTTGAACAGGGTGCTGCTACTTTAGACAATCCAGGGGATTTTTCCGGATTTTTTGATTCCGTGTGAAAATGTTTTCTAGAGAAAACGGGAAAGTATTCATCGTCATCATCTTCGTCCTCCTCCACCACTTCATCTTCTTCTAATTCTTCATTATCATAATAATACTCACCGTCATCATCATTACCACAATCTTCATCAACATAATCATAATCATCAACGATATCTTCTTCTTCATCATAGTCAACAGCATCCTCATCATCATATTCATCAATATCTTCATCGGTCGTATCACCAACTCCATCGTATTGCGGTAAACTTCGAGTTGTTGATCTAGCATTAAGATGAATAGATACTTGAGAACGTCTTTGACTAGAATATTTCTTTGAACTGCCTTGGATTTCATCATTTGGATCAAAGTTATCAGAATCATCACCTTTTGCATTTAACCGATCATCTTCATCGTCATCTTCGTCGAAATCCACAACAAAATCAGGATCATGACGTACAGCTCTTACTCTTCGAGCACTACGTCTAAGTGGTACACTAAAATTGTAAAATAAGCACAAACAAAATAAATTCACATTCAATCTCGATCAACATTTAATAAAGTAAGTATAGAGATATGATCAATGAAAATAAAAAGGAAAACCTTATGAACATTGTCAGATTGCTCTGATATTCGTTCGAGTGTCTAAATCAATTAGTTCCAACTACGAAATCATGTGTTAGACAACTTTACATTACGATTAGCAATATTGTTAAGCTATCTAAGTAGACGCTGAGGATCAAATCCACGTTATCAAATCATATAAGTGTATCGAGTTTAGTAATTGCGGTTATGTTTACGTTTATTTAGTCACTCAAATGTAGATATTTTGGAATAATTTGTATTGGAAGTATGACTGTTGTTCTACTGTAACTTTTCTTCCATCATGTCTAAGTGTGCTACACTTGACATGTCTGTAGCACAATGGAGTGGTATTTTTGTCGTAGAAAACCTTACATTTCTCATGTAAGCCTGTAAAAGTGACAGAACAAAAAAACACCTCTGCATCACGGATTACGACAGTGTAAATAATAATTGCCGCTTCATTTTGGTTAGTTGCCAGGTGCAAGGTCAAAAAGTGCAAACGAGAGTGAAGTTTATCCTCACCCTCACATATGTGCTTAGAATACATAAAGTTCCATATATAACACTTATTTAATAGCCCAACAATTGCTAAATAACAGCTTATGATCAATTCTCATACTTCGAGGCTTCATCATTAACATTCACAACCCAATTCATACCAAGCAAAAATACACAAAACAAAGTATTTACTACTTACTTTTCTCTAGCTGACCAACTATTGACTCGTCCAGTATTCGCAGTAACTGAATCAGAATCAGAGTCTGATTCACTCAGATCACTATTTCGATTGGTACGACGCTTTTGATTAGAACGATATGTTTGTTGTGGTGTACGATTATTAGGTGTAGATGCTGTCTTTTGTACTGGATTAAAAGCAACTTGATTCATATGTATGTTAGGAACGGTTCTAGGTGCAAGTACTCTAAAAAAAATCATACGAAAAAGTGAAATGTGAATTAGATTATGGGATATTTCCAAGATGTGGAAAATATATTAAATGGCTTGAAACTATTTTTGACAACATCCACAGATATTGACCAGGAAGTGCAATAACATGGTATCAACCATGAACATGCCTGTATATTTTAAAAATAAAAATAAAATGATTATTGCGTTTCGCAATTTGTAAAACTACACTTATGAGATTGAAGTAGGTCAAATAATTTTATAACTATATCTTAATGGCTGGAAATACATTGTATAGACGAATGTCGAGAGATAACTACTTGGTTGGGGGTCATGCAGTTGTCATGACAAATGGTTGGAGACGTTGGGCAGCACAGTACAGAATCAGTCACAACACAGTACAAGTACGTTCACTCTTTATCACGACCTTAAAAATTATTTTATAGTATTTAAAGTTGCATATCGTTATCTCGTCTCAAATCATAGTTTGTGTCTAGCTTTTTACCTCCACATTCATTGATACCACTATTGCTAACGATTTGATATCCACCTTGATAATTCCATCTCGCTGTGATGATGTGTTGTGGCAACTTGATTTGATGCCAGTTTCTATGTTGTTTAAGTTCGACTAATTACATTTTCCGAAGTGTCTATATTTAAGAATATCGAATGAATAAGTAACCATCACAATTTATAGTCTATCATTTCTTGAAGTGTAGAATACAAATACTGCCTTCGTAAAAAAAGCGTCATCAGTTCTAAGTATCATCATCACTTGGAACAAGTGTCAAGTAAAGTTTGTAAATAAAATCCGTTTAACAAAGTTGAAAGTTATTCAATTAGCTTTAGAAATACATAATAGATAGAGACAGACATTAAATACATACACATGCACACAGATAAGCTTTACATAACTACGGACAAGATAGATGTAATAAACACAATAGAGAGGTAGATATCACACAGATGTAACATACAGACAAAAACTACATACACACTAATCCATAAATAGATAGACAGATATTACATAGACACATGTATAAATACACACTAACCTGTAACGAACACCTTGATCGGTCAATACTGACTGCTGTATCAATTGTTTGCCACCACCAAAAGTAGTAACAGTGGTATTAGTAGTATTATTTGAATTTTCATTCAGCTGAATCAACCTGGAGTTTGTCATCACAACATTACCACTACCAACACCACCTACCGCTAATGTTGACGGTTGCGATGGTTTAATTAGGAGAGCAGTTTGTTTAGCTTTTACAGCTTGTGCTTTAGCTGTACGCGCTTGTTGCGCTTCCGTGCCTAATGTGGTCAAACGTTGTACCACTTCATTATGACGTTTTTCTAGGTTTTCAATTTCTGCTTCTAATTTACTAACTGCATTCAATGCAGCCAAACTAGCTTTTTTATCGTTTTCAGCGGCTATATATCGATGTTCTAGTAAGTTATCAATACGGAAACGTAATCGTTTACTAGATGATAACGATGATGAAGAGGAGGGATAACTGTGCTCCTTATCAATCGGTGGAGGGAAATGAATTCGATTGGAAATGCACTACAATGAAGGATAGAAAAATAGCAAATAGGACGAATATAATACCTTATTTTGGTACAACAATGTATCAATACAATTAACCTTGACGTACATCGTCTTATTGTTTCATTGAAAAAGAAAAAAGATGGTACAAGTTAAACATGGTAAAATTAGATGATATAAACTTTTATAATCGGATGATGTGTTGTCCAAACCAAGAAGTGGTATCAATCCAAGAAGTCATAATCTGTCAGAATAAGACCTTGTAGGTAGCCGCAGATTAGCTTTTTGAAATTAACACAATTATCGTAGGCAATGCCCCCCAAATGCCCTGATACGGCCGAGAGTGGAGAGAGTCCGCTCTGCCTCTCGAAATCCTCTCACAGGGCCACGTGTATATAGCCTCTGTCACGGAAGTCCTACTCAATGCCTTCTCGTGGCGGCAGTGTTTTTTACAAAATTGAGAGGACGAAAAGCGAATGTCTTGCACCTTAACTCGGTCGGTGGATATGGAGAGTCCACCTAGGGAAGTTGGAAAACCCTGATTCCAAACCAGTGGTGCATATGGGCTCCATTAACCTGAAGGAACAAATGGCGTATGAACCAATCGTTGGTCACCGGTTACCATGGGACTGCATCTCCTAACGATGCTCCACTGCCTTGTGGATCAGACTTTCAGGCCGAAGGCTCCGGGTGTGGCCCCCTAAGAAAACCACGTGCTTCGGTTTGGGCACCCGGGCAGCATCAAAGCCCTCACACATATCGAATGAGATTTGTGTGGCGCATATGTATTTGGTGCCTCCTTGTACCAATATCTGTGTTAAAATAAATAAATAAATAATCGTAGGCAATAGCTAAGGATAATATGTGATATGGCTTAGTAGTGGTCTCAATGACTCAGATGCATTCCTAATTGTCGTTTGATATATATTCCTTTTATCCTCCAAATTCATTCTCTCTTCTAGAATCATATTATCTATGTCTAAAATCTTTTTCACTACCACTTAGAGTACAGCTATTTCTACCACTTTGTTGTTTATCTTGATAACTGTATCTCTCTGTACTGATGTGGTGCAACAAGTTAAACCAATGTACATATGCGTTAGGTTATAAATTGCTAATGATCAACTGAAACAGTGTATCACAACTTATAGACTACAATGTATTACTTTCCAGTCAAGACCTCAATTCACAATGAAATTACCTACTCACTACTACGACATATAAGTATTAAAAAAAAAACAGGAAACCTAGAAAAAATCCCTGTCGACCATCTCTTAACCCCAATATACTAGACTGCAATTAAGTGCTAATTAACTATGAGGATACATCATATTTCTTAACTCAGCTGGGGAGTTTGACTTTCAGATATTGATTCTCAGTTTCCAATCCTGTTTCACCTACTATGACTTAAGCAACTGGGTAGTATTTACACAAAGCTGTATCTAGTGAATGAGTAAAAATTTCGTAATTGACAAACTTGATCAACACTGAATAGCAAGTATTGACCGTGGAATATTTTTGGGCATCGACCAATTCTTTTCCTCATCATTGATAACTATGAAGGGAAATGAATCCATGTTAACGGAAATGATACAACTGAAGAGAGAAATATTAAAATTGTATAGCATTACACTAAAATTAAAGTTCAAACATAACAGAACGTATTTATTCAATAATTTGCCCACAGGCGATGTAAACGATTACAAATAAAACACAGCTTACATAAGAAATATTTAACACTGGATTCTTATTGTCATCATTAATTATTTTACCCTCATTTGTATTATTATTGATAGATGATGTCTGACCTGAAAGTGAATCTTTTTTCTGTTCTATTTTGATTTCTGATGCATTACAATTTTCATGTAATTCATCTAACTGATCAATTTTATTTTTCTCAAAATTATCATTCATTACATCTTCATTTATATTATTTTCATCTGTCTTTACAGTGATAATATTACCAGAGTCTGGATCCTTCTTTTTAGCATCATCATCAATATGAGATGATGACGATGGATTCATTTGAACATTGTTTGTTGAAGATTTCAATATTTGTTCATTTAGGCTACATAATACATCAGATGGAATAATATAAGGATTTCGTTTAGGATTTAAATACAATGGAATACCGGTAATTGGATGTAGTACATGTCCACGACATTCGCTTGCTTTTGGTGGTTTAACAGGCATTTGATCCTTTAAAAAAATAATAAAAGATTATTATAGAGATAAATACACTTGGAACACTAACAGACAAAAAAATGACCAGTTTTTTTAATTGAACTGGTATATCGTGAATGACGCAATCGAGCTACAGTGGTTGGAATGTTTATTTTTTTAGATCCCACATGCAGCTTAGTTGGAGAGTGGTAAAACTAGAAGCTGGAATCGTACTGCTGGTTGTATTTGGGTATGAGGAAAGATGTTTCCTTGAAGAAATAGAAACCGCAGTGAAGCTGTCTTTCCCAAATAGGAAGATACAACAAAGAATAATGGCTTTACAAATACCACCCCACAACATGCCTCACGGATTTCAAATGTGGGTAGTAAGGCCTTTAAATCGTGAAGCCAACACATAGAAAACAACTCGCAGAAAGGTCGCGTGCGACTATCTGTAATTAGATGTCGCTTAGGCCCTGTGGTCACGCTTCCAGGTAGCCAAGACTATATCTAACCCTATTTTCTTTGCAGACACCTCAAGAAAAAGTATCCTTCCACAGTCTGGGCAACCGGAAATTGTGACAACCGCCTGAATTTCGCTAATAGCACTCAATATGACCAAAAAATAGTGGAAATTTAACAACAAATGTTTTCTCGTGACAAAGTCATGCCTGTGTGACTTTGACGAAAGCGTTATTCACCACTCACAACGATTAGGTTTTGAATAAATAATCATGAATTTTCTGATAAATAAAAAATATATAAGGGGAACTCACTTGTAAATACTCAGGACAAACACCCCATCCAATTCCGTGTTGAAGACCGCGTGGATTACCACGACGATGAAGTAATAAACGATTACCCGATAAAGTAGCAGTTTGTTCCAGCTGACGACCAGAGGATATTGGAGGGTGGATAAGTACAGCATGTTCAGCCATTCGACCAGCATTACTACGAGTTGCACTTAGCCACATCCAACCATCGCCACCTAAACGACGATATTCTTCACCACGAGTCTTCCAAACAGTATGTCTGACTGGACGAGGAGTTTTTGTACGTATAAGATTTGTTGGTAGATTAGCTGGATTTATGTTACTACTACCAACACCACCATTAACTGTTGAACTAAAACGATCAAATTGTCGTAAACGCTTATCTTCTTCCCTTTGAGAAGCTGTCATACGTTCTAGAGTTAAATGACCTATTGCAACGTAAAAAAAAACACTGGTAATTTAAAAAAAAAACATTTTCACTGACCTATCCAGCATGTCAATACAATTATTGAGAGCGTAAAACTCTACACTTTACTTCTACTTGTCTGAATAAACCGTTCGTAAAATTGAATCAAAGAACAAATCAATTGCGAAGCATATAACTTATACATAGCAGAATTCTTAAATCCATAACCATGATGAACATTAGTACTTTAACACATTTCACTAATAATATCAATGAAAATGGTGTAGATCACCAAATTCATTATGAACATACCAAGTGAATTGAACCAGACGCGTTGAAAACATACAGAACGAATGGATGCTTCTAATTTGGCCAATAAAAATGCTAAATCAGATGGAGACTTAGAATGTAAAACATCCTTAATCCAATTTGTACGATGAGCTCGCCAAGCTGGAGTGTAAAATGCTAGTGGAATCTAAAATGTGAAGAAAAAAAATTTAAACTATAGAGAATGAAGAAAACAGCTTTCAATACAATGTGGAAGAAAAAAATCAATTTAAATTCGGATATAAGTTTAGTTTTCATTAAAAAAAAACATTTAAAGCAAAAAATATTGGATTTATGTGCCATACGAGGGGTAGTGAAACTACTCAGTTTCTCAAACTGAAGCATGTAGTGGTATATATATATATATATTTATATATATATATCATTCACTCTCGTTTCTTATTCTGATTTGGCAGGAGTCAAGTGAAGTATTGCAGTCAAAGTATTCTATCTAGTGACGACATAACACATCGAGAAAAAGTCAAGAGCAAATCAAACTTCCGTTTTGTATAAGAGGATATTTTCAAAAGATTTCATATACAGTTAAGAATGTATCCCCTAACACAGCATTCACAATTGTTACTTTTAATTAATGCTATCCATACATCCATAATACTTTTACAACATTAGAGAATGGAATACAAAAAAGATGTAATGAAGTGAAACTTTGAGAATAAATACATAACACTCTGCTGTCAAAAAAGTGGTGATATAAACTAGTTAAATAAGATAGAATACAAAATACTTTCGATAAAGCATTCCTATAATGCATAGACATAAATGTTCAAAGAAAATAAGAGGTTAATTAGGTATGTACTCTTCAACTATGCTCCTTCAGAGTATAGTGGTGAATATCTCCAACTTTTACATGAAAATCTAGGTCGATTTCTGGAATAGCTATTTTAGCGAAGTGCTAACTCAATGATTATGGTGGCTGACTTTAAGCCACGGGTTTGAACTCGAGCTCCATCTATTACCGTTTCAGTGAAAAGGTTGTAGATTTTCTAGCGCTAACATTCAATGTGGCTCAAAACTATGTACGCTGATCTATATCTAACTGATGAGTTAATAATAATAATAATAATAATAATAATAATCCAACTTTATAACAATACAGAATAGCAGGAATGATGGAATTCTGGCTGTGCCATACAGATTTCATAAAACTCACGTATGAATATATGCTGGAAACTGAATTAAATAATCTTTATGCTGTACTGAACTGTGAGATTAATAATGGATATTTGTAAAATAGTATGTACTTATTATTATTTATTTGTTTGAACAGATAAAGAGTGGTACAAGGGGAAGTCAAAAATAAATGCTCCACCCAATAGTAATGAGGTTGTGAGGAGATAAAGAAAAGTGAGTATAATAAAAAAGTATACTTAAAAAAGAGATTTATAAGTTTGGTGACAGGGGTAAGTGAAGTATGTACACATAAAATAATCCATTCATTTATCAGGTACTTGGGTATGAATTGCACTTTAATTGTGAAAGTCAATGACACCACGACTCGGTGACCCGAACCGAAGTAGACAGAGCAAGGCTCGAATTCGGAACATTGCAGACTAAACTGGAATACATTGACCACAAAATCACGGCATACAAAAAAAAGAAACATTGTTAAACTTTACTTACTTTTGATTCGAAATGACAAAGTGTCAATCGTAATAAATTCAACAGTTGGTGTGGACTAGCTGGCCAACATTCGTATCGAGTAAAATCAAAATCACTGAATTGAGGTAATTCAATAACACTAGCCATCATATCTCTGACGAGTTTGAAATTATTAGACAATTCTACCGGATCGATATACGCCCACATATCTGTACATAATTCACTTACATTGAATTTATTCGACAATAACCGTCGACGTTCTTTTTCTTCCATATGCTGTGCACGTGTCAACGCAACATTTACACTATCTGATATCAGATCATCTGCAGTGACAGTACTGTTATTACCATTATTGTTATTATTATTATTATTTACAGCATTTGAATTCCTTGTACCACTTGGTGTTCTTTTAAGTTCACTTAAATCATCATTCCGGTGACTATCCGGCATGGCGGTACACTCTTCTCCAGTCCAGACTCCAGACGTATATAAATTTGTCCATGATCGCCAATTTCCTTCATCTGAAAAACGATAGGCTAGTAAACAACATTCATTGGAATTCGGTAACCAATCTGGATCGATCAGCATATGTAAGGTAGATATTTCTTGAGGTTCTAATATTGTCGGTGGATAAGTTGCGACGTCATCATCCTAAAAGGATAAAATATAGTATAAGTGATGGTTAAATTTATACAACTTAAAATAAACAACATGAAAGTTAAACAATTGACTTTCTGACATAATTATACTTAGTGTAACAATCCATGTGTAATGTTATTTAAAGCTAAGAAAAATAACCTTAAGTAAGTAATAAAAAGTGATCATTATCAGTATAGGGTTGTGGAGATTATTGAGTTTCACTATAATTACGAACCGGTCAATGTTAGACCACCATTGAAAACCTGGAAGCACCGAACGACCGTTTCATTTTAGTATGGGACTCCTCAGCAGTGCATATCACAAACAGCTAGACGAATCTACTAGTCGACTTCCGGTACTCTTTAATAAATAACTTCTCATTTCATCTTCTCGAAACATATTCGCGATTTTTAGATTTTTTCATCATGATTGATACACTATTTCGGATTATTTGTGAATGATCTTGTTAATTCCACCCCATTGTGATAATGTGCTGTCGTAACGCAAATTTGTGCTAGGCTCTACTACATTGATTGTGACGCGCTGAATGAGAAAACCATTATTCGCTGGCAAACAAGTGACCTATAAAGTTTATGTTTTTAAACTACTTATGATGAAATTAAATTATGTTTAATTTGTACTGAATGATTTACATACAAGTACGTTATTTTATTAGGGAAAGAAAGCCTATTTTGTTGGACAAATGACTTAACTTCCGATATCGATTCATTTGGTGAGGACGGGGACGGAAGCAAGGAAAATCATATGAGTGATTTAATTCCATGTAAAGTTAAAAATTACCCACATTGCATTACTGCAGATTTATTATCAAACGATCAGTAGTGTATCCATTCATTTTAACAATTGAAAGCGAACACTGATAGGTTACCATTTGAAAGTTTTAACTACTGATAGGTAAAGATAAGATTAATTTTGATAAAAAATATGTAGTACAAGACAACACTGACGAACTTCCTCGAGTAAAAAACTTAGATTCAGGTTCCCCTACCTATCTCCAACCACTTAACATCTTAAGACGAAAAGTCAAATCAATTAGACCAGTGGCTACATTGCAACCTGATTGATGGAAAAGGAAAGGACCAGAAAAACATAATATTGGTCACTACTCAACGATCAACCAATTTTAAATGTGTCTTAAAGCTATCGCAACCTGAATAACCTAGTGATAATGTCTCAGAGTGCAGTTGAGTGACGAGGTTTCGGATCCCACAGAGAGGACCATTGTCTTTCAGGATAGTAAATATTGCTTATTAACGAGTGCTGACTAACACGAAAGCTGAATCTGCGATCTCCTGACGGCTACTTTCGAAAACGTAACACAGTAAGAGGGGTCATATAATAAAAACCTAGGACTGCATGAAGCTCAAGAACGAGAAAAAAACAAATAAAGGGACTAATTGATTAATTTAGAACCTTATTATAATAAATCCTTCAACTACGGATCATCTATTACTGACTTTTCTGTCGATACTAGAATAGTACCAAAGAATTAGTATGCGATTATTTGTAAGGATTTGAGTTGTCCTGAAGCTGGCACTCGTGAATGAAGCATGATCAGTCTTTATTGGCAGATTTTCGTCCTGTACGGACAGTCTCAATACAGTTTGGTTGCAATAAGCTTCTTTAAAATATATGAATTGTGACTAGAGGTAGAATTGAGCAAAGTGTGTTTTTTTCCTAACTAGGACTAGTCAGCTGAATGTACCTCCATCCTTGTGTCGATATTTAGATTGAGGCTTGAATGCAACACTCTTCACTTCAAATCTCGGCGCCTTATACATTGAAATACTGAATCCAGATGGGCACTAATAAATTTTACAGCACATGAAAAACCTAACATTACTTGACTTCGTGGTTGTCTTGGTTACAATGAAATCTGATGGACACACAATTTCATTGATCAAAAGTAAAGATCCATACATAATTAAAAACTGCCTTTATTCGACTGATTAAGAAAATTATGCCGTTATATGAGGGAGAAATAAATAAATAGCATGACGGTCAATTGGAATTGGATTTTTACATTACGAATAAAGCAGGTCCTTTTAATAATCTTTACGCAGTAGATAACATGACTACCAACAAACATATTCATCCAAGTAATCACGTGCAGACACACTGAGATATGCTCAGAGCTGCACCCGCTATTCAAAGACTAATGATACTACCATATAGTTACAAAAATAGATGGTGAATAGTACAAACACGAATCTAATTGTTGAGGTGCATTTTTAATCCATGGAGTTAGCGTTTTATGACAAATTAACAAAAATACCAATAAGCTGATGAGAAACCATGGACTAAACAACGACAAACATTTCAATCATAATTGTCAAGCTCTATCAAGAAGCTCGATGAATAAACTTATCACTTTTATACTAACAGAATAACCAGTGAGAGGCTACGGCCAATCAGGTAGTCTAAAGTTTAAGGGCTTGCAGAGGCATTAAATTATAGCATTGATGCCTGATAAGATCGTAGATGGTTACTGCTGGGGAGTTGAATACTGGGATGAAACAACTATCCAGTGACCCTTATATTTCAATGGCTATTTAAATAAGGTCAGTCCCGCAGTATAAACTGTAGAATGATTAAAGTTGTAGGAAAACTTGTTTTGATTTTTGATTCCAGTAGTTCGTTTCATGACTGAGTCAGTCTAGCGATGTGTGAGTACAAAATTTAAAATAACGATCTAAGCATTTGGAAGTGACCAAATATAGAGTAAGAAATACTCCAAACAAATAGTTTCCTTTTAAAACAATAATACGAGGTATGATAGAACTGGGCAAAACATCATATTACAAGGACTAAGAACAAAATTTAGTTAATACCATTAAAGTTAAGAATCGAAGCGGACAGTGATGCATTATTATTATTATTATTATTATTATTATTATTATTATTATTATTATTATTATTATTATTATTATTATTATTATTCTCTTAATCGTGATTGCAAAATAAACAAACATAACACTTACAGAAGTTTCTTTTACCATATGAGTAATAACTTGGTCTCCATTACCCACAATACAACTATTCTCGTCTGTAAGAACCAGACATGCAGAAAGATCCGAAGGCTGTTTATTCAAAAGAGTCGGTAATTGTTTTGGTAAAGTTGGAAAGATAGGTACATCCGCTGATGGTAGACTAGAAGCTGCGATAGCCTACAAAAAACACAGGTTATCTATGAGTTGTATTGATTAAAAGCCTTAAGCATTTTAAAGAGAAAACAATAAGAGATTAATTTAAACTCATGCATATCATAAATTGATTGATATAATCCGATCAGCACTAGGAAGGATTTGATACATATGACAATGGTCATTATTCTTTGATCATTAAACGTAAAAATATATTAAAAGATTTTTCACTAGTTAGCAGGGCTGGGACGCATCAGAGTAGTTTAGCTTGTCTTGTCATTGTGTCGCTGATCCTTTGTTTCGTTCACCGATTTTAGGTGATCTCGTAAACTCTTCAAACATAGCATAACGCTACCCGGTCGGCCAAACAGAAATAGATGAAGTAGGATTAGATACTGGGATTTAGTGGACAAAATTTGAAAGCATTGACCACTAAGCCACCATTTCTCAATTTATTGTAATTGGATAATAATATTATGCACATTTGTGGTATTGTACACATATTTTGTTAGAAGCTAAAAAATACAATCAATCTACTGAAACATTAATCAGTAGCGTTGGGTTTAAACAAGCAACAAAATGACTGGAAATGAAATGCCTGAACTAGCAATATAGATGAGAGCTTTGGTAACCTTTGGTAACTCTACATGTATCATTTGGTACAGACAAGAGGTAATTACGGATACTACCAAGTTTTATGATTTATTATCATTAGTTTTTAGGGTCAGGAATGAAAACAGGTATGTATTATCAGATAAATTTTACCATAAAAAAAGACTTACAAGTCTCGTTTTAGGATAATCTGATGTTTCACCGTGAGTTTTTATCGATGTAGTAGACTTTTTAAAAGAAGCTGTAAATGTTATCGAAAACAAAAACAAAGTATGATAAAAAAAAATTTACTAACTCTCACATTTCTATTATCAAAAAGAAAAAGAAAACAAAAGATTAGTGCTACTTTTTCACTGTTAAGATTAAAACTCTATCGTAGAAAGAATCATAGTCGTCACAGAGCGCATGATATAAATAACACGTTACGTATCACTTACGCCTACTCACCTTGATGAAGATGATGTTAGTCGATGTAGGAATAAGTCAGAAAAGAGCTAGACAACAGTCTAACAGAAATGTACCATATATTTATAAAGCCATTGGCTGCTGTTTTGAAACATGTTGGTAGATGTAGACTACCTAAATGAGGTTAGTGCAATAGACATTGTGTGACATGACTCAGAATCGGTTATTATGTCTCGGATGCATGTTGTTTTAATTTTAACACATATATATTGGTACAAGGAGGCACCAAATACATATGCACTACACAAATCTCATTCGATATGTGTGAGGGCTGTGATACTGCCCGGGGGCCCAAACCGAAACAGGTGGTTTTCTTAGGGGACCACACTCGGAGCTCTCGACCTGAAGGTCTGATCCACAAGGCAGTGGAGCATCGTTAGGAGATGCAGTCACATGGTAACCGGTGACCAATGATTGGTTCATACGCCATTTGTTCCTTCAGGATACTAGAGCCCATGTGCACCATTGGTTTGGAATCAGGGTTTTCCAACTTCCCTAGGTGGACTCTCCATATCCACCGACCGAGTTAAGGTGCAAGACATTCGCTTTTCGTCCTCTCAATTTTGTAAACAACAGCCCCGACACGAGAAGGCAGTGAGTAGGACTTCCGTGACAGAGGCTATATACGCGTGGTCATGTGAGAGCATTTCGAGAGGGAGAGCGAACTCTCCCCACTCTCGGCCATACCACGGCATTTGGGGGCAAATGTACTGTTTATTCTATTCCAGATCTTGGGTTACAGTATTCCTTCATACATATCTTTACATCCTATATTTTTGTACTAATCTTCTCACTATCACTGTTACTACATTATTTATATTTCTTTACTATTCATTTTGTTCATTTAATCTCATCGTGACAAACTGGCCCTAAGCATAGATGCGTGGAACTCTACGTTGATGATCATGACTGATATAGAAATCTATTGGGACGAAAGCTGATGCTGTAGTAATAAGTAGCGATAAGGTGTAATGAAGACAACAAATATATATTCATAGGTTCTAATCAAATAAAATTATATGTCCGAATGATGAGTCAATACAAACATTATATGAAATATAAAGTAGGATCTTAACTTTCCTCAATCTCAGCTACTCAGGTACATATTCGACTACATGACTTAAAGCTAAATTCTAAATGTGAGAGCTGGTGATGCTACAACACGGCTGGCAAACAAACCGAAGTAGGTGGAGTGAGGTTCGAATTTTAGACTTAGCAACTGAAAGTTGAACGGATCAAGATAAAAGATATAAATTGGTTGAAATCCTGTGAAATAGTTAACAAAGAATTACACGACATAGTTACATATAAACAAGCTTCCTTTGTGTTATAATATGACTTCTGACAAGAAAAAAGTATCAATTCTCACTGGCGATAATTGCATTGACAGTAATCGAATACAATTTTATGTACGGCACCTATTTGAAACACCTTGCTTCAATCAAAATAATACTCGGATTTTGTTCAGCTCTGATTTCAGCTTGGTCGAAAATGTTGGATGCATGAGTTGAGAGAAGAAATATTTCTCCAATTAATTGAAGAGAAATACTTATCCGCTCAACTTGAAGTAATAGTATCTTAATGAGAAATTCAACAAATATTAAATATATTGTTGAAAAATGCTTTATTTCATATAAGTTCGATCAGATTGTGTTACGAGGATAGTTCTGACAATTGAATCCTTGAGTCACAATTAAATCAGAGCACGTTGACTAATATGTTTCCAACTAATTAGCACTAGCGAATGAATTCAGAAGGTACTAGGTCCCTGCATGGATTTTAAATAAGCCCTGACGATTTACAATAATATCTGTGGTGCTTCAAATATTGGAACATACTTTTGTCCGTTTCACACTTATTTTGATCCAGAGCTTATCGAATGAAGTACTGTGTTTAAGGAATACTATGTGGTGTAAGCTATAATACTGACGACAGGAAAAAAGAAATTGAATTCAAGATGCCGATCTCAGATGATCAACTTAATCGAATTCTTCAGCAGAAGAGGCAGCCAAACATGTAAATGCGGTTGATTGAGGTTCTGATTCAGCAGCTTAATATCCAGTGTTACAATTCCCACATTATTTCAGCTACTCCTAATAGTGGTGTTGCCAGTTTTTATTTATTTGAACACATGAATATTGGTAAAAGAGAGCGCCAGTAGTATTCCTGAATTCACTTATGATCCTTCTCTACATGATTTAAGCGTTTGGAAGATACGATTAGAATAAAATTTTGTAGGCAGGATGATGCTCCAAAGATTAGGTTATTGGTGTGTAAGCTGGAGAAGAGTGAACATACAAGCTATTCTGACCACATTCAGTGGGAGTTTCCTTGAGAGCTCAGTTAAGAGACAGCAATCTAGCTATCAAATATATTCGGGGAGTCATCCATACTTTGATATTAAATATCAGGGTCTTAATATTGCTAGAGGTGAAGCTGATAATTACAGTAATTTACCAAGAACCAACTACATGTGAACGTTTCTAGCTACGCTTATTGATGACTGACCAATTCAAATATTCGGTATTCATCAGGGCTCTAGTTACTCCAAGGTGCTGAGATCAGAACTCGACTGAACTAATATCCGAATATATCACTCACAACACTCAATTGCGTTGGTTCAACACCTTAACGAACTATAACACTTGAGGTACTGAGAACCTTACTCTGTTGGATGGTGAATGTAAGTTTCATTTTAAAAAAATAGAAGTATAACCGCTTAAAAATGAAATAAAAGAATAATTACACGAATAATTTCGGTGAAGAACTAACCTCGTTCAACTTCCAATACTGAATAAACATACACTGTGTCTGGACTATCAGCTGTCAAGTTGCAACTTTGATTTAAATCACTATTATTAATTGAAACTGATTTATGATTTGGTCTTGATGAACAAAAATCTAGGAAACCAGATTCAGTCAGTTTCTGTGTAATCGCCATTTCATTACGCATTCTAGGCAGTAAAGCATCTAAACGATAACAAAGCCATGGTTCCCATTCAGTTGATAGTAATTCACGAATATACATTACTTGTTCAATGGATGAATAATAATAAACGCATGGTTCATTAGCATATGAAATTGATGGATTACATTGATATTTTTTATAGTTCTTTTGTTTATTAAACGTCGGCATAGGTTGACTACTATCACAATAGGATACTTTTGAAGTTAAATTGAGAGAATCGTTATTGGCAGAGTCAGTTGTGCTATTAGCATTATTATTATCATCATTATTATTGTCGTCGATATCATCCTCATCATCCTTTACTTCTGGATCATCTTCCATTAATTCACGACCATATTCCATCTCCCATGCACTATCAACAACCCCATCGTGAAATCCCATCAACTGTGGTTCACATTGACTAAAGTCAACCGGTTCACTACAATGAAACAGTACATCATTATTAATGTACGAGTAAACTAACAATACAACAAAATTTAAAGTTAGTTTTACACATTATGTAGTATTTTTTTGACTGAAAGCATTTGAAACAAACAGTTGTAAACAATGTGGGATTTAGAACAAATTTTAACTGTACTAGTTCCTTGTTAAACAGGATAGATTTCAAAACTGAAAATATGAAATATTTCATTATCCTCTTACTAACTAGGATGTGATAATTAATCACTTAGTAATAATTATTAGTGTAGTATTTAATTTGGCATACTAATGAATCAAATATATAAGTAGATTTATGTTACCAGGGCAGATTGTTGACCAGCCTTAAGTTGGAATAGGCTGATTAATCTATTTTTAACTAAATGGGATTCCATAAAATTCATATTTACATTCTAAGTAAACTCAGGTGTTTGATTACCATATATTTATTGTTGTAGTTAATAGAATATATAGTGTAAGCTCCAATTCTTGTTGTAAGTAGGAAAGAGTTGAGGAAAGTATCTTATACAAGGAATACTTGATAGTAGAACATAACAGTTTACATTAGACGTCTAATTTCCCAAAACAAGTAAGCAAGAGACATTATCTGCATCTTTTCTTTAAGAAACTATTATTGAAGGAAGAAGTTTCAACAGTCCATTACTCTCCATACACAATGTTTCACGATGATAGAACAAGTAATGAGATCCTCTTAATCCAATTCAGTATATTTGTTTATTTACTGATATATAAACATTGCTACGAACGGACACCAAAATATATATATGCACCACAAAAAGTAGTTACCATTAGATTTGTATGCAGGCTGAAATACTTTCCAGGTGCCCAAACCGAAGTAGGTGGTATTCTTAGGGAGCCACGCCCAGAGCCTTTGACCCAGAAGTCTAATCCACAAGGCAGTGGGGTAACATTAAGAGATGCAGTCCCATGGTAGCCGGTGACCGAGAATAGGTTTATATACCACTTGTTTCCTCAGGATCCTGGAGCCCATATGCACCACTAGTTAGGAATCAGGGTTCTCCAACTCCCTTAGATGGCCCTTTTGTACCCACAAACCTGGTTTATGTACCGTACATTCGTTTTCCGTTATCTTAATTCCGTAAGCAACACGCCCACCGTGAGCAGGTAGTGAGTAGGGATTTTCTAGAAGTGGTTATACACCAATGGCCATGAGAGAGCATTTCTAAGGGGAGAGCAAACTCTCCCCACCCTCAGACATATCAGGGCACTTAGGAACCTATATATGAGTACAATTCAAAAAAACACTTAAATCTACTTTTCCATGAATAGTTAGATAGTGTCAAAATTTCGTCACAGCTGTAATTTAGTAGTTTGAACACTCAAAATTTATAATACCAAAATTAAATCTGCTTTGTCTAAGATTTCCGAGTCGGTGCAATAACGTAGTCATAATGTAAAACGATTAGATCAATAATTCCACAATATGGAATTATGCAGAATTAATGAGATGTATTTTTATTCATATCCAGGAAAACTTGAAAAGATGCCTCATTTTATAACACAAAATATTCTGTAACCTTGTAAATGCTGGGGTTTTGGATTAGAAGTCAAAGTAAACGGACTTAGAACCACTGTATTGAACCTTCAAATTTACCATCAAATTACATTGACCTGAACAGCTAAACACAGAAGATTGTCAGTTATAGGAAACTACTAAGATAGACTGAATTTCTGAGTTGTGCATGAAGGGGGGCTCACAGATGTGTTCCAAAGGAAGACCGATGTCAGATAAGACTGACTTATCTTGCCTTTCCTCGTTCTTTTGGTCTCTAATTGGATTGCGAAGACTTTCAAATCTCAGGGGAAGCACATAATACAGTGGACACTCTAGATGCAACTCGGTGATTTGAACTTCGCAGATGACTTGGTCTTTTTTCCTATGGATGGGAACAAATGTAGATGAACACAATCAGTGTAGCACCAGCTTCCAATACAGTAGGCCTCAATGTTCACAAGAGGGAAGGCAAGATCCTGAGATAAAACACAGAGAGCACCAACTAAACTACATTTGATGGCAAAGCTCTGGAAGAGGTGGGAACCTTGACATACTTGGGAAGCATTATTAATAAAAAAAGAGGATCTGATACAGACTGACAAAGCGAAGAGAGAATTCCTACTACATAAGAGTACCTGAAACTCAAAAAACTATCACACAACGCTAAAGTCAAAATTTCCAACACCAACTTTGTATGATGCTGAAACTTGAAGAACTGTCACAACCATCACCAAAGAAGTACAAGCATTTATAAACGACTGTCTATGCAAGATACTCTGTATCCGTTGGTTAGGGAATATCAGCATTAATCAACCGTAGCAGACAAGCCGACTTCGATACGAGAAAGAAACCGGAAATGGATGCTGGAGGTGGATAGGGCACACAATGAAGAACTGATCAAACTGCATCGTAAAGCAATTTCTAACTTGGCATCCTCAATGAAGACGGGAAAGAGGCAGATCAAAAGGACACTTGGCGCCGGGAATTGTAGGTAAGCATCAAAAGAATGAAAAGTATTTGACAACAACTAGAAATGAGCCCATGACAGAGTTGGCTGAGGGACCTATGTCCCATGAGAAGGAAGAGGTTTAAGTAATTGAAGAACTCCAACATGCTTAAATTCAAACTATTATAGAGAAAGTAAAAGGATGAAATTCTTGTAAGAAAGAGAGTTGAAAGATGGATCTGGTAAAGTATGTGAGTTGGAACAGATTCCAGTGAAGTGATTTCACTCACAGGAAGATTATTACTGACTAGGTTTTATAAACGTGGCAAACAAACACAAAACTGTGTAAGTTTGTTCGTAGGATCTTTCAGTATAAAAACTTACATAATTAAACGTCGACTTATGTACCAATACAAACGACCCGCTCGATCTTTCCCAATAGGTTCTTGATAATGTGCAACTCCACTCTTCTCTGCTTCTGATAGGCAATCTGTTACACCTGGAGTCTGTATAAGAGATTTAACAAAGGGAAAACGTATAAGGAATAACGTAAACTATCATCTTAACAATTAAAAATATGATACAACAAAACAGCCTGGTATATTAATTACGAATAGCCACATAATTATTAAGGAATAATGAAGTATAACGCAGAATCACTGTTGAAAGCTTGAAATTACGACTCCATTATAGTAATGGTCATAATTATAATTAGTGTGTTTATTACAAATTGAAATAAAACTGATACGATACCCGAAAGGTTTAGGCTATAAAACCTTTTGAACCTATAAGAAAAGTGATAAAAAAAAATCCGTTAAGGTTTGTGATTTGTTCATATGGCTTACATAGGTCAGTGGATGATTTTATGGATTTTTCATCAACTTGAAGCATGAACAAAACATCTCAAACTGATGTTTTCTTCACATAAACACAGTAAATCACAAGTGAACCGTTAATACAAACAGATGATCACGTATGATCATCTAAGATGCCCGAACAATTGTAAATTCCAGTGATTTGCAAATTTAAAATAACATCCATTTTAATTACAATCAAATAATCTAGACTGACAGATACTACATAAAATATCTATTTGTGATAACACTATATAAAAAGCACATATCTGTGCATAATACATGTCTAAAAAATATCTTACTCTTTTACGAATACAGACTGGACAAATCCAACTAGTCGTTGGTACAGAGGATAGTGGAGGATTTAAACAATGTAGATGAAATACAGCCGTGCATCCGTCACAACACAACACCTCTCCGCTTCTATAAAGTAAAAAACAATGTAACAGAAATGTGTGGGGAAGTTCGCGTTGCCTGAAGAAATTAAATTAAAACTACTTAGTGTTTATGTTAATCTTTAATTTGGAAATAATGTCAGCGCTATTGTGAACGATTCTGAACCATGTCAGCTAGCATCTCCAATCATGGGTTACGATAATCATGTAGACCCCAACCAGATAATCTACATTTAACTGCAAAACTCAGCCCAATTGTTGGTGATTTCATATACTGATGTCAAGTCCTGGTTAGATCACAGCTTTCTTCCAACCTATTACCACACTAGCCGTGATCACCCGTCGAGGTAATCGGTGGTTGAGCATACAGGATACATATATCAACTACTCCAGTTGATAAAGATTCAGTACATTTATGTACAGACAGTAAACGGAAAAAAGTATATTTCTAGGTGATATATATTAAACGTGCCATTCGGCCTTATGACTACAAAAGCCGAAACTTTAAGTTTCGACCCCCTGAATAAAATTACGAGTGAATACAACTAAGTGAATAGTAGCTTTATTAGATGTTTACTGTACACAACATTCTTGGACAGTAGAAAACCGGGTTTTCTAATAATATATGTAAACATAACGAACTCTAAAATATAAACCTTTACTTACTGGTGACAAACACGACAATAATCTTCGTGTGTCATTAAACCCTCCCGAAGTATATCACCTCTGACTGAACCAGTTGCCAGGAACAAGCTCGTAAGACCACGCAAAACAGCGATGCGTGATTTGATTGGCACGAATGGATAGTCTGGATTCAAGGGAATCAGATCTGGAGGAAACAAGGCAGCAGTAAGCACTATATCCGCTCCACCTGATCCAGTGGGACCACCAATTGAACCAGCAGCTGTTGTTGTATTGGCAGCAGACAAACGAGCAGCTGCCTCAGTAGATTTAATACTAGACAAATAATTGGCTAATAGGTACGGCCATGTGAACCGATCTAGCAAGTAAAACGTCATGTTTACTGAATCTCTGCAATCAACAGGACACATTGCAGTTCCATTAGCTTCATCTTCGCGTAACAGAGCTTTGAGGAGAACCATATGAGCTTCGGCAAGTAAGTTGGAATTTTCATCAGATATAAGAGAAGCTGCAAAGTCTTCCAACCTGAATGGAGACAACCGTAGCAAAGAACCATAACGCCGAAGTACTTCATATATAGATAAGACATCGAGAATATATTCACGAGGACACACAAGATCATTCGCTGATGATGGTAAAATAAGAGGAGGAGAACGAAACCTTAGCTCTATGGGATCCATTTCGAGCATTTTTTGAGTATGTGGGTCGTTAATAGAGGCATTAGCAACAGTTGTGCGCAGAGCATTCAAATCGTTACTGCTAGCAACACTGAGAGACTCACACTTAAGACTGGATTTGTCTTCCTCGGAATTAGAAGGGATGACAGGAGATGGAGGTGGTGGTAGCATATCTAAGATAGATTGTCGGAAAGGTGACGCTGGTTCCTGATAGTCTTCCTCGTTCTGTTCATGGATGTCATCTAAGGATCTCGGATAATCGCTTTCTTGTAAAAAGCCACTTCGACCTGCACCTTTGTCATCGAGTTCACTGAGATCATCGCTATCACTAACCTCTCTAAATCCTGCTAAAGCAGCATAATTCCTTTGTTTTTTGTTTCGATTGCTGAACTCACGCTGACTACCAGACTGACAGCTTAAATTGCTATCTGAATTTACAGGAGTTTGAAATTGATGAGTCATTAACGGGTCGACTTTTGCGCTACCTCTTCTACCTTGTGCATTAGCACGTGCAGCAGCTCGTGCTTCCATTTCCTAGAGTAAAATAACCGCAGACACTTCAAGATAAAGAACAATATGGGAATTAAAAACAATTTTTTTAAATTATCGTTTAATATTTATTGTTCTAAACACGAAAATCCGTTTTGGTAGCCAAAGATATTGTCTCACAAGATAGTCTTGGGAATCTAGGATACAGGTAACCCCATGAGTTTCCACACTTTTAGTCAGTACGTTTGAAAATAAAATGCCAGTTTAGTGTTAATGTTTAAATGATTATTTCGAAAGAACAATGCAAATAAAGGAAATTGGATGTTCACCAGTCTTTTATTTGGAGAATATTATACCAATGTCTGAAACTCTCTAATATCGAGATGATAAGAATCTATATGCCTTGAAGTAACAAATATGAATACTTCATCAATACTTACGCAAAATACGTAGCTTCTGAGTCATCGTGTGTTCTGAACAACCTAACTGACTGACAATAATTTCCTACTCCTAAAGTCAATATACCATATCTAAGTTTAACTCGACGTCCCAAACCTATGATATTACATGCATTTTTCAATAAAATGAAAAAATCTGGTAAGTACCAATATTTACGGGATATTTTTAACTCCCTATTACTAAATTTCGTTATGGATTTATACTGTGACACCTGCTTCGTTGTATTTTGACGCGCATAATCTGATAATAATCTATAACTCAAAGTGAAGACGTCCTTAAGCTCACAGTAAACATGAATAACAAACAAACAAGGTCGATAGATCAACAACAACATAGACCCTAGAACATACGTGCGTTAGCCTCAGTCAGTCAGTAACAACGTAAAACTTCGTACGTACGTACTTCAGTTCGAGTTGCCATACCACATTAGCACAGAGATGCAGTTGTCCATTCAAATCCCGTAGTGGTAGAGGTAGTAAGAGTATAAACAGTAATCGGAAACATTAGGGCTTGAAGATGTTATTCAGAGTATAAACCAGTGAAATAATTTTGGAAAGAGAAAAGAGAAAGGGACACAAAGAATTCAGAAAATTAAAATTTGGGAGAACACAAAGAGTGGATGCATCTGTGCCATTGCAAACGATTTTGAGCCATGTCACTCACGGTCTCTAACCATCGGTTGCTATCATCTCGCGGTCCCCAACCAGGTAGTCTACACCTACCAACATGGTTCAGTCCACTAGTCAATGACTTCATGGATTTGTGCCACGTTTTGGTCTGGCCGCCCCTAGCTTTCTTCTAACCTATTCCTACACCATAAAACATCGCTCGTCGGTGGTTGGGCATACGTAACAAATGTCCCAGGCATCTCAACTGATCAAGTTTCACTACTTACTTAATTGATTTGCCATCCTTACCTAGTACCCGTTCCCTAACAACTGTATGACTTACTCGATGGTCCCAGAATATACGAGCAATGCAATGATCGAATACTAGTAACCTATGAATATCCCTTATTCTTACCGGCCATGCTTCACTGCCGTAAAGTAGGACGGGACGAACTGCTGCGCATTAAACCCGTCCTTTTGTTGGTAGACGGATATCTCGCCTACGCCATAAATGACCCAAGTTGGAAAAAGTTAGTTGAGTCTTCTGTATCCGTGCTGAGATTTCGTCACACATCAGACCACAAGGGTTGATGAGACTTCCAAGATAAGTGAACTGGTCGACACGCTCAACTACTTCACTCCATATCATTAGCTCGGGTGTCGATGCAACCCAATCCTGAAGCAACATTTTGCATTTCGAGGGGGAGAATCGCATGCCGAACATGCTTGCATTGTTGCTTAGAGTGGTCAGAAGACTGCATTTTGTCAGCGTCTTCACCAAATAGAACTGTTATCGGCATATTCTAAGTCAAAAAGTGAATCTCCCGGTAGAGGTTCAACCCCTGTAAATTTAGATGAGGAATGTGTTATCTCTAAAAGCACGTCAACGACAAAGTTAGCCTATGGTGCCACATTATATTAGCATGATCAGACAAAAACACCAAGACAGACAAAGAAGTCAAAACGATAGAGGCACCAATGATAATGACAAAGATAGCATACAGAATATCATTTGAAAAACACGTGATGAAAATAACATATATAAAAAGCAACACAGAAAACCAGCTAGTAAATCTAGACCACTGAGACCAACTTTATGCCATTTTACCCAATGATTCTAAACAACGATTGCGGAAACCGCGTGGACCACGATCAATTAGTTTGCATTTACCTATATTAAATGGGAATATGTTACGTGTCACAAAACCCTTGATATGGAGTTTTGACTACACCGACTGACTTGACATACTTGATGAAATCTCTGCAGAATGCAATACCTCTTTTATAAATGACACTTAATGAATCTAAGAACAAAAGTACGGGATATAGAACTGCGAGATCCTCGTCACACTACTGGCCGCAGAAATAGTCCACGCATATTCACTGACTTATGAAAAATTTTCCACAATTTAATGTACGTATGAACACCTAGACTACTATGGTAAATTAATGACCCATCAATTAGGCGCAGTCAATATGAGACACTAAAAATATTAGGAATGGTGAAAAAATAATTAAACCCACACGTCTTTTCCTGGACACTTCCTCAGCATCTTCCCGCATTTTTTCCTCCTCTAGTCTTCTAAAATATTCATCGTCATCCAATTCATCTTCAAGGCCTACATTAGGCTCATCTGAATCACTTGACTCTAGCCACGGCTGGCTTGGGTCAATTGGACGTTTTCGGGCTCCATTTCTACTACCCTTTGGACGTCCACGTCTTTTACTTTGTCTTCGTGCCTCAGCTGGGGAAAAATAGACATGATTTATTAGTTTCGTGTTATCAGATACATGTACAACCACAATGAATCACTAATACTAATGGTCAAGACAAAAGTTAATCAGACTGACAATACAGTTGGTTTCAATATAGTACATATTACGGAAATAAATTGCATAAATGTTAAATCAAAAGATAACTGATAACTAACGTACAATTACTTGCGGTTACTGAGGTACTATCATCATCCTTTAGCATTTTCTCATAATTTATCAAGTCGTTTTGACCGATCACATTTTGTTTGGAGTTTTCTTTGATTTGGTCCCAATTTGCGATCTCAACAGGGTTGAGAAAAACGACTTTCGTCCGTTTTTTCACACCAGCCAACGCGCTGGCAGCACCACCCCCTGCAAGGCCATTCGTGCCAGCTGATAACGAATCCATTTCGGCCTCTTTGAGAGGCAAGGTAAGAAAATCTCAAGGTCACAAAAATGGTCCAGAGAACGGGCAAGCGCGCGTCGCAATTTTTTGAAAAAGGCCGCAATCACTTAAACAAGCATAATATGAAGTTTACTCCTCACCATAATCTGCACAAGTTGGAAATAACTGTACCACTGGAATCATTTCCATCCTCTGCTGGCTGTCATTTGCCATATATTTCTACGAGTGAGATGTTTCAGTTGACAGAAGTCATGTCATTTCAGATAATCCAGTAAAGTTCATGTAATGTCAATTCAACCCTGTTAACTCGTTCTGCATTCTGCTTCAAAATTTGTCTTGAAATCACTCTTTGGACTAGGATAACTAATCGACCATATTCTCGTTTTTAACCGAAGTTCCTACAATCTCACAACTCTTATCACTTAAGTGCCTTTATTTTGAGTTCATTAAGTTGTTTAAACTTGTAAAAACCCTGAAATTATGGGTAAATACCGTCTTTCTGTCATGTATTTGACATGGTGATGCAATTTTCTCTGGTTATTTATAATGAGAATGTTTACTCTAAGTGTGTGGACGTGTAGTGGCATTGTATTTAACTTTCAGCTTGTCAGTACCCGGAGCATTATTATTTTTCGCAGGTACCTCCGGCGCGTGACAACCCCACTCAATTTGGTATCGAACCAACGTCACGTTGATTCTTGTGAGGAAGTAGTGTACTGACATTGAACCCTAACCACACGACCATTGGAGCCAGGCATATAAATAATGAAAGGCTTTATATTTAACAATTGACACGAAGAGAAATTCCACAATAAAGCAGGCGGGGAGGAAGGCATGACTCAGCCTTGCAGGCGTGGTCATTCTGTATAACTTGTCTTTACTCAAACTAAATATATTATTCTATCCTTAGCCTAAATGTGTTCTGCACAAACACATTCATATGACTTTCATGTAGTATTTATAGATTACAAAATCACATCATGACGTGTCTACCATTTAGGGATCAAGTTTATTATTAGCATTTTAACTACCAGTTTGAAAAAAGTGACTTATATCGTCCGATTTATCAAATGGTGACTTCCTTGAGACTTTTTCGGAGGTGAAAAGTTCATATGTTCGTATCGTATTTTCAATATATTGAATTCAGTGTTGTATGATGTATTTCTTTTGCATATCTCTAGAAGATATTCGTGAAGTTTTTCTGTTGCCTTAACAACAATAAAATTTTAAGTTATTTACCTCATGAAAGTATATCATACCAGTCTTGTGTTTCTATGTATTTGATTGTACTTGTGTCACCTGAAAAATACTATTCGGTCAAACTACCACAAAGTTGACTTGTTTATCTTTTACTTACGTATATTTAATGGTATTTTGATGTATGCACATATTAAGACGTATATAGTACCCCCCAATATTTTTTTGCATAGGATGCTGAAAGTTGAATCGCGATGGCGAGTTTTAAAATGAAAAAATAATAAGTAATTTCCTTTTCTTTGAAAGAGATGATGCAAAAGAGGTGCTATTATCTCCTTATTTTCCCCATTATTTCTCCATGAAAAAAGAAAGATGCCGATCACTTTTTCATCGTGCTTTCAAAACCTACTTAATTTCTTCATTGTAACTTTGCATCGTGGGTATATCAAAATGATACATAACAAGTAAAATTGTTAAAACTCCACCAGGAGTCCCCTTAGGAATTTACCGGCCCCACGTCGAAGACGTTTAATGAGACTTCATGATGAAAGCAGAGATTTTTCAGGAATTAAGAGCTTTATATTCTTCTTAACAATCAGATCAAAAATTGACATAGATCTGTGTAACGTCGGGACCATGTGGAAGATCAGGAGGACCACTTTAAGAGTTGCGGAAGTGAGAAGATACAATGTTGCGATAACAGACACAAATATAACATATTAGACCCATGCCACACAGGAATGAACAGCCTTAAGATAGGTATTGTTTCACTCTAGTGTGGTGTTTGTATAAACTAATGATTCATTTATATTTGTTGAACGTTTGAAATCGAATTCCATTACATTTGTTTGTGCTTATTTAGTGCCTCCTGACGCAAGTGCGTTATTTCTAGGATTTCTAGTTTATACTATAATTCAAATACTCCTAATCATTATATCTCGTCACGAAGAAAAGTATAAAAGCTGGAGTTGATCGTCTAAAAACTCTTACAACAGGACTCAACAATTCTGACGTGAGAACTAGATGCTCTGGTTGAAATGGATAACACCAGATATGAAGATATAAAGGGACAACAAAGACTGGGCGAAAGGAACGAAAATAGGAGAGATTCGCAAGCCCATATCCATTCAAGAAATTGTTTATAGACGACACAGTATTTCCACACAAACGCATACAAAACGCTACATGAGTCTCGCTGAATCCACACCAAGGAGAACCAGTTAGTTCATTTTTGCATCAGTAAAAAATTCACAAGGTCAATGGGAGAAGTGATAACCGAAAGGGGAGCTGACATAGCTTCAGATCACTACTTGGTTGTGACCAAGATGAAACTGAAGTTAAAGAAGCACTGTACAGCAGTGAAAAAAGCATAACAAAGTTTCAATATAACCTTTTTTTTGACATACTGTCGAACTCAGCGAATTAAATATAACTCTCAACAACAAGTTTAAAGCCCTACAGTATCTGCAGAAAGGAGAAGAAACTACTATGGAGGACGACTAGAAAGGTATGAATGAAGCATTAACTTCAACTTGTCAGGCGGTGTTGGGTGTCAAGAAGCACCTCCATAAAAATGGATTCCTCTTAAAATCCTGAGTAGCATTTGTGAAAGCAAGAGATAGAAGAGAGTAACTGAAAAAAGCCGGACAAAAACAGAGAAAGTGGATGAGTCGGTACTTCAAATATCCACACATCATTTTTTAGCAGCCCATACAAGTAGAATGTTTTTCAGAAAAACCGTCAAACTCCTACCCAAATAACTTAATCTCATAGCCTTACGGAGCGAGAACATTGTCATTTTCACTTCATCATTACCTATTACGGGCACAGGCATACTTTGGAGACCGAGGTGACGTCGAGTATATAGGTTGTGAATACTAGTATGGCAAACTATCAGTTTCAAACAGCTTGTAGTGCTTCCTATTAAATAACATTATGTGATGTAAGCGATCGTTACTTTCATGTTTTCTTTACAGAGTATCAGTTTCATACTTTTTTGATATTGCATAGTTTATGGATGTTGTTGATTAATGAACAGATATGTTTTAGATAATGCTCAGACGTTTTCCACATATACTAACCAGTAAACCTTTACAGGATATGGAAAATGACATATCTATTCTACAGATCGCGTTTTAAGGGGTTTGTGCTTTTTGCTGGAAATATACCCGCTGTTGTTGTACTGTAGCATAGACGGTTCGGGCATTCGGATCCTGACATTGTTGCTGTCCATAGCACCTTTTAAAAACAAAGAGTTCAAATTGAACCAAATCAGGACTCAGGAATGAAGGGTTTGTAGACATACTTTGAAAATAGCCTACAGCGATCGAACAACCGATATTCGGTTGGAATGACGGACTGATGAACCCAAAATTTATTCGATTAGACCAGACCACGTTCCTCTGTATAACTTGTAACAGCCTAGGTTGGTTGGTTAAGAGTTGACCCCAAACAACCAAGCATATGCGAAAACAGTACTGTTCAAGTATTCATTCACTTCCTTGTTTTGTATAAGCGTTATATTCCCTATTATCTTATATTGAATGTTGAGAGCCTTTGTTTGTCTGAACAGGTAATCCGACGCTCCACTGTTACCGCGCTGAGATCGAAATAAAGACCTATTCACTACTTCTCTGGTTTCTTCTATCAATAGCACGAGGGTTACTTTAAGGCACGAAATTGGTGAGCCCGACGTGAGTACTCTGATACACCCTTGGTTACGCACCTAGTTGTAAAACGCGGTCGTCACAGGCTCAAGGTCATGCGTTTGATCGATTTTGTTAAAGAGTCCAACTTCTAGCAAGTTCACCCTTTTACATATATGCATTACAAAAGAGTATTTTTTTTGTTTTCATGGTTTTTCGTGCACAAGATATCTACACTATGTCTATTCTCTTCCAGAATACCAATCCGTTCTGGAGACCAAGCACTTACATGGAACCGAACAATTATCAATTACATTTATGTATTTCCATTTTGTATCTTATTATTTTATGCAGGCAGTGGAGCAGTTCTTCAGGTTTGCTTGATTCTCACCATTACCTTTGAAGTAGATTCTTCTTTACTTTTTACTTGAGGGCGACTCAAGAGGCAGGTGAGTAAACACCTGATAGCCGGTCTGAGCACGGAAAAATCGTACCTCACCAACATGGTGTTGGGTAGCCCGCTCGCGGCACTTCCTCAGATATTCTTATTCCACATTCTCACACTTACTCTTGAATGCACGCAGCAAACCGTCGGCGATAGTTGTAGAAGAAATCACATGCTACAAAATAAGATGACAAGCTAGTAAATAAGAGACATCCATGGACTATCGTTGACAGCGTCAGTCGTTACTGATTGTAAGTCAAACAGTGAGCGAGTTGATAATTTTCCATGGGGATGAGAAATAGAACTAAGGTGTTTTCGATAGTTAGGTTAATCGAACCGACGTTCCTACGGAAGTCGATTCTAGGGGGAAGCTAATGTAACAGCCTAGGTTGGTTGGTTAAGAGTTGACCCCAAACAACCAAGCATATGCGAAAACAGTACTGTTCAAGTATTCATTCACTTCCTTGTTTTGTATAAGCGTTATATTCCCTATTATCTTATATTGAATGTTGAGAGCCTTTGTTTGTCTGAACAGGTAATCCGACGCTCCACTGTTACCGCGCTGAGATCGAAATAAAGACCTATTCACTACTTCTCTGGTTTCTTCTATCAATAGCACGAGGGTTACTTTAAGGCACGAAAAACTCACAACGCGTTTTTGAGATACTCGCATTATACTATATCAAAACACAAACTCTGTGCTCAATATAAACGTTTCTCAAACGGTACAGCCTGTACTATACAGTCAGAAGTTTCTCTAACGCAAAGTAGCGCGCTGAGAATCAATACAAATATTCCCAACAAGACGGGATCAAATA